GATTACTTGTCATACAGCATTGTCGTATAACTGTTGCATGACATGTATAATTGTCGATGGCACCATCTGAATGTCAGTATGAAACCAGCAAAGGCAGCTGTTGATAAAGTTATTCAGTAACCTAGTGGAAATATTTTTGTAACGTTAAATGAAAGTTTCTCACTGATATAGAAGGAGTGGCTTAACGTCGGTTTCGAAAAGCCGACTTATATTCCCTGTGATGAGTGTAGGAGATTTTCAAATAGATTTCAAACTAATTCTTGGCATATTCCTTCGTAAATGATATTCTCTTAATGCATATTCATAAATCCCATTGCTAGAATATAGAAGGCAATGTGGAAATGAATTATTACCATAAAAATTTATGCTAGTGCACTTTTGTATCCCAACTTTTACTCTATTTCAGCCGTTCATAGATACTTTTCTGTTCATTTTTTTATATTTTTTTATTTTTGATTACAGCTTGATTCCACATCGTATTTTTGGTACAGGTATGGAATTTTCAGCATGGATATCGGTAGCCCAAATTCTGCAGGCCGACTATTGATATCATGTGTGCGTCGGCAGGAGATCGAACCCCGGACCATGTGCATGGTCGGCGAGATTTCTAACCACTGTGCCACCGATGCACACCAGTATTTTTCTTCTCTGAAGAAATCATTCAGTGACAAAGTCAGAAAAGAATTAGACTTCAGAGACATAACTGACACAATCAATATAATTTCCGTATGCGTCATGAATTATGGAAATTTTCTTATTTGATGGAAATACAAGTTATAAGCTGATGGGACACTAGGTGGTGTAACTAGTGTTATGAATTTGAATCTTTAGTTGGTGCAGTCTGAATTCTGTCAGTCAAGTCGGAAATGTGACCAACATGCTTGATGGGCCACCATCACGGTGCATCATAAATTGTTTTATTAGATAACTGCAGGCAATAATCAGGAAGCCTCCCACTTAGGTTTCGTGCTGGTTGGTACTCACAAGTTAGCAAGAAGCATGTGAAATCTTGAAGGAAACCATATCCTAACAGTTACTTAACACCTGATAACTCTTATCTAATTCATTGTCACTCCCTTAGAAATAACAATCAACTAACTCTAACGTTTAATTATACGTCTGAGGTCATCTGTTCGAAGTTACGGCAACCAAGTGACTAGACGCATGAAACTGGTTGCCACTTCTTGATCAAAATAAGTATCAAGTAAAGTCTTATAAAGGGTTAGTCACACACCAAAAATCAGCGCCTTGTGACTTTTGTTTCGAATTTTGAAATGGGACATTATTGCCTTCATTATTGCAGATGCGCCCTGCTGACTGGTGAGTACCGATATGCACAAAACTTTAATAATAATAATAACAGCTTTATTCTTAACAATGTTTATACAATGTACATAATTTTCAGTCCGAGATCTTCAAATACAAGATTAGTGAACTGGAGATCTTGTTACAGAGTGCTTTCTGACCTTAAACGCAAACCAATCTCAGCTTTCATTCCTCTCCGTTTTCTCTTCTCCGAGAAATACACGTCGAGATTTTGTTGAATGTCAACTATGAAACATTTAGGAGTGCGATTTCTGAACCAAGGACACCACTCAAGAACCGTCACCTTATATGCTGGAGTAAGCTATCATGGAGGATAATGCTTTTACTCATGTTTAATAGAAACTTTGAAACCGTTAATTGTTAATGCCTTAAATAGTCTCCAGAGTAAACAATAGTATTAGAGGTTATACAGGAGAAACTACATGCGCTGTATTGACCAGGGATTTCGGCAGGCCACCTTTTCGGGTTCAGCGTTTACTCCAGATTGCATTCAATCATCTAGCCTAATTTCTGTGTGTACCACCAAGACAAGTCGCCTAACTTGTTGGTGACCACATATTAAACTTCAATGATAGAAATTCGTCTCCACTAACTCAAGGATTAGACGCATGAAACTAGTTACTTTCCACTTAGTGTTCAGTCAAAATAGATTTGAATTCACTGGTTTATCCACATTTTTCCAATTACTAGATTCTATCGACTATTTGAAAAAAGCCACACTTATTTTCTTCAACTTTGTGTTTACATAGTATATAAATAGTTTTCCAAACACAATGAGGTATACTTTCCCTATCTTATTGTTATATAAATTCAAACTGTCTAGCGTACGACTTCGATTACATTTCATAAGTTATACTGAATAATTTTGTTATAAATTTTGCAATGCCTTATCTTGATGCGAACTCTGTCAAAGTCATCTCCTGTGAATATTCGCATCAGAATGTTGGCGCAATTAACTTTAGATATATCATACCAAAAATACTCAAAACCCTCCACCCTACACTGCTGTCGACTACATCATGTAAACGTATTTGCTTGTATTCACAGCAGAGAATTTAAGTAGTAATTTACGAAATAGATATTGAAGTACATTATGTTATCCTAACAATGAAATTGGTAAATCATCTAATGTATACACTTTTCGTGTCAGTCAGATATCTTATGACTGACTGCACTGCCCAAGAATTTAATTCCTCTTCATGTCAAACGTTTCAGTATGTGTTCAAAAACATTTTAGATAGGTCCTTCTCTCTATTCTTTCAGTGTATGTTCTTTGGCAGATACAAGTAAATTGAAACAATAAGTCCCTTTTAAAAGTTTTCATAGCGTTATTCGAAGACGGAGATTATTTGAAAAATGTGATATATTTGCGCCAGACATTTTGAACAATCTGATCACACATTTCCATTATAGATAAGATTCTATTTTGATAATGGAATTATACTCTACCACAGTGCCCAAGTTTTATACTTATGATCACACATTTACTTGTCAAGTCACTATATATATGGAAAACTTAAATTAAACAAAGTGACAAAAAGAGTTAATAATAATTTACACAGACGTAAATTAGCAAAATGGTTACCAGGTATGTTAAGTCCAGTACGCGATGAATTATGTAAGTTTACTTTGTAAGATACATTTGAACTTGTTGACTATCTTGTAGATATGACCATAAAAGATAGGAAGAGGTATTCAATTGATGTTAATTCTCTGTTTACCAATTTACCATTGATTAAGACTGTTGATATTCTTTGTGACTATGTATATATATCTTCTAGTTGTTTTTCATTCCCTTTCCCTTTAACTCATTTGAAAGATGTAATACTATTATGTACTGACAACGTCTATTTCACGATTGGAGGTGAACATTTTCGACAAGTGGATGACGTTGCTATGGGAATCCATTGGGACCTTTGTTAGCGGACATTTACATGTCTTATGTTGAAAACTTATGATTTGATTTAATTTCTAAATTGCCATTCTATGAGAGATATGTAGATGATTTCATTTTGATATGCGACGATCATGAAGATGTGAGTCGTCTTTTAGACAGACTTAACTCTGTACAGAATCATATAAGTCTTACATCCGAGGAAGAAAGTCGCAACCAGCTTGCATTTTTAAACGTACTTCTGAATCCAAGAGATGATGGCTCAATAAGACGGTCTATCTACAGAAAGCCCACTTGGACAGGGCAATACCTTAATTTTCATATCTTTTGTCCTTTACAGTGTAAGAGAGGCTTGGTGAAGTGTCTATTTAAGAGGATTCAGCGTACTTGCACGGTTGATGTTATAGACAAAGAAAATGAAATATTCAAGGATACTCTTGTTGAAAACGGATATCCTTTAAAAATGTTTAACAGGTGTAGAAGTCAGTTAGTCTCTAAACCTACAATCCATACCACCCCTAAGAAAAAGGTTTTCATCAAATTACCATATAATGGGGAAATAAACAGCAGGATTTGAGACAAAGGTTGAATTCGATCATCCGTAGAACCTACTATGCAGCCCAGCTTATAATTGTGGAAAAAGCTAAAAAATATGCTTCACTGCAAACCTAAAAGGTGCACAAGTGATTATGTCACATCCCACACAATTTACTTATTTTCGTGTGTGTATGGACACACAAACATCGCGCTTTGCATGTGAGGGTGGAAGAGCACATCCCAAAATGCTTAGAAGAACGAATGAATTGTGACAAGCATATAGATGCAGGTGTCAGACTACCAAATTCGTCTGTAGCTAAACATCTAATCAAGATGAACCATAAGATTGATGTTAACTCAGCCTTTAAAGTCATCTATAAAAACGGTCAAGGGCGTTTACTGAAACACGCTGAGGATATAGCTATTCATAAACTTAAGTCCCCCCTGTGTGTATTCAAAAACAATTTATTATTACTTTTAACCTACATTGGTAATCCTTATTTGATTGGATTACCAAACGTTTGTGTTAATTATTCTCCTTTTTGTCAATTCGTTTAATTTAAGTTTTCCACATATATTGACTTGACAAGTAAATGCGTGATCAGATTGTTGGAAATGTCTGGCGCAAATCCATCACATTTTTCAGATAATCTCCGTCTTCTAATAACGCTAACAAGTAAATTGATAAGGACAGTTGTGGCTAACAAAGAAAGGCTATTTTTTTGACTTTTAATCTGTTTTTCCAACAGGTTATTTGGTACAGAGAATCTTGTAGCAAGTGAATTCTTCAGTCATCTGTTGGTCATCGCTGGCATGGTATCACCTTAAAATGAATACAGGCGATTTGTTTAATTTAGCCCCCTATATTCTTTTATTTTCATTCTTACGAAATCTAGCGAGTAATCTTAGCGGAAGATCGTAGTTTCGTAGACATTCTTCCAGGATCCTCAGCTCCTTCCACAATTTATCACTATAGAATATTATTCTCGCTTCAGTGAATAAATGTTTCGACTAATGTTGGTTTGTAATTTATCAAATGCATTTTCATTTAATGTCTAAACACTCTGAGTACCACAAGTTCAGACAGATAAACTCAAGTATATAATTAAAACCAAATCAGTATTTATTTATATGTGAAAGACATTACTTAATTATTACAGTTTAATAAAATGACATTAAGAGAAAAAATAGTGAATAAGCGTGTCAGTTAAAGCATTGAACATTATCAATAGATGAAGAAGATTCAAGGTTTTGCGTATACCCGTCTAAAAAGGAAGAAAGAGGACAAAAACAGTGGGAAAATCAGAACAGACAGTCATAAAATGTATTTATAAAACTGTTTTCCACGAACTGTTCCTCCTATCCATCATTTTAATATATTTGTTTGAATAATCAAGAGTATAGAGAAACTGATTTGTTCAAATTTGTAAATGAAGATGGTGAGTATTCACGACTCAGGTGTCTTAGAGAGCAAATAAATCAACTAATTCTGAGGCTGAATGAGCAGATTGTTACATTCTTGCTTTTCTGATGGGAAGCAGTACACCGTCTAGAGTGGTTGACTGGCTTTCCTAAGGCGGGCTTCCACAGCCATCTGTGTCACTTCATCTCTCCGATTCGCGCGAAGAATAAGTTTGTTTTTTATATTTCTTTGCATTTTTAATGCTTTTTTTGTGCATTGGAGTTTCTGTAACTGCTTGAATGGTTTTGTATGTTAGGGTCTCTAGCCGGTCCCACTCCCAACCCTCCTTCCTTTCTCGGGCATGGAACCGGCTAGAGAACTAGCGAGCTAGTAAACTCGGCAAGGTCACGTTCAGCTACTAATAACTAATTGCTTAAATACTCAGTGGAAGCAGATGATACCCAGAGGAAATAACGTTTGAACAGAATATGATGTCTGCTTCCAATTAATGCTAGCATAGTAGATAAAATATTTATTCGTGATACATAAACCGACCTCCTTGTTATCATATTACCTCATAATTTATCAAAAATAAAAATATTGTTTCTCAGTTTATAGGGTCACAAGATGTCCGAACAGCATGACACTGTTTGTGTCAATAGTTGTCATACCAGTGCATTCCAGAGTAATATTTTAATGAATAACTTACTGCCAATCCCCGTCGTAGCACCACTGTGCACCTTAAATCCAATTTTAATTGTTTTTAGTAGAATGTAATAAAATAGTCTACTTCAAGTGTTAAAGAGATTAGCTTTTTTTGCAATAAACTGCATACTACTGATTAACTTAGATGAGTTCTCGTATACTACCTATATCAAATAGTAGTACTCATTAGCCAACCAAACCTAAGTGATCGAACACAGGACCACCGTTTTGATCGTTTGTGGTGAGGCTCATTATCCATGTACTCGTTTTGACTTAGTTGTAGAGAGGAGAATCATTTGAAGCCAACAAATGCTTTGTGTTATATTGCTCTTCCATAGGCCATAAACACGTTTAATTTCAGAGTAGTTCTTTCAAAATCCCAGACTTAGTTCTCCTATCGTCAATACTCGAAAACGCTTTTTTCTAATTAGCCTCTATTTCTGTTAACATTCAATGCATTTATCCAGATGGTCTCCGTTAATTAACTTCTAATCACATGTCCAGACATCGTCAAAGCATCTGCACAAGAAGCTGATATGTCGGCTTGAGATCGAGCACTTCGATCCAATCAATCGATGGGAAAATCTAAAATTCAATTAAATAATTAATATGACCCATTGCACAAGAGGCTGTGGCTCTCGTTGCTCAAGTGGTCTAGAGGATAACTCTTTGGCGTTTGAAACTATGGGCAGTGGGTTCGAGCCTCGGTGGGAACATCATCATTCACTGACTGGGGAGTGCAGGTACATCCAGCCGACCAGTCTTAAACAAGACGGAATGCGCATCCTGGATTTCACTGCTATTCACCATACACCAATTAAGCTTTTCGTTTTACTGATATTACTTTCGAAATTTCTTCACCCATGCATGGAATTCGGATGAAGGAAGTGAGGCGTCCTAAAAATGTAGATTATTTCGTGTGCTGATGTAGTCCACAATTATGATCCATGCAGGCATATATATGCAGTTGAAGAAGTCTTACTATTATTTTGAGAAGACAGTAAGTAAAGTCACTTGTTTGATTTGTAGGCTATAAAGCTTCCATTTTTTACAATCTTTATGATTGACTAATCGATCCTTAAACTTATTTTGCTCACTGATAACTACTCAATGTAGAAAAAACTTGGAATTGATGAATTATTCCTGTCGCAAACTGGCATCAGTTATTCTCAGAATACTAGATTCTGCAAGGAACTTCATTCTTAGGAGCAATCTTGATGTAACTGCTCAGCACAGCAGTTAAATGTATTAAATGTTATGAATTTAAACATTTTGCATTACATATTTATATACCAATTTGCAAGACAGTTCAAAAGAAAGCTGATAATCGCATGCATCTCAAAGTATTTTCTCTGTTTACTGAAGGCAGTATAACTAATCTTCCATATTTCAAGCAATTCAGTTAATACACTATACTCAGACTGCCTCTGATTTCAACTCATCACATAATGCCTGTTCCTATATAGTAATGATTTCGATTGATCTGGTTAAAATTCAACTGTGATAAGAACGTAAATCAAATATTTTCTCACATGTTATTAAATTAGGATTTTCTGAAATTTAATAAATGTATTCAACAAGTGTTTTTTTTTAAGCGAATATACTTCAAACCACACAAAATTTCTGGACTGCATTATATTAAACAGTTGAGGTGAGAGGAATCAGATTAAAATAGTAATCGTCTTATGACTCATCATGTGATCGGATGACCGTCAAATTTCATCATTTTTTTCTAACCTTCGTCTTGGTCAGATCACCTATCAATCAGAACAATCTATTTCCCACTGTCCTGGGACGATTATAATGTGGTTAAAAATGTATATGACGTGTTTTTCCTAATGAAGACAGTATCCTGAGAGTCACAGGTTAGTCTTTGTCTTTCGATATTGATTCGCCTCAGCAAAGCGGTTGGTACTAGGGACAAATAGGCGTATCTACCTAGTCAGTTGACTTATTCAGTGTGTCAGTATTATTATACCTACGCATCAGTTCACTCAGTCATATCAAATGTCAATGAGATCATATCCTCATGAGCTGATATTGGTTAGAGAAACATTTGAAAACCTGGGGTACTGGAAAGCTTTGTCGCCAACCTAGTTTTTGGGTCTCTTCAGTAGTACACACCAGGGACCAACTGGTTGCAAGGCGAGCTCGTAGATTACTTAACTACTGGGTTGCCACCAGATGGCCAGCCAAGGAATTCCAATTTCTGCAAATTCACGACATAGCTCAACTAGCCTGTGTCTTTGGCGAGTATTCATCTTCACACTCGACCTGCTGTACCCTACTGGTCACAACTGCTGGATAGAACCCCAGGTAACTTCCTTCCTTAATAGAGCATGAAGAGCGCAAAAGTTCGATTTAATGGGTTGGCCGTTTGAACGGGTCCCAATGTCTTAGTGGTCTACGAGCTCGTCTTTTCACCAAAAGGCTCTGTGTTCGAACCGCCGTGGTGGTTGCGACCTGCTAAAGAGTTCCGAACTAAGGTGTTCCGTCCTCCACGGTTTTGCAAAGGTTCTCTAATCGATGTGAACTGATAGTGAAATTCTGTGAACAATCAATCTGATCCCTATAAACCGACACTTGGAGATCATATCAGTTAACGACAAGTCTATAACAAATTGGCGACAGAGATCATAAAATGATCTGAAATTATGACTTGCCTCACAGTATTTGAGAAATAAATCGCTGGGAAATCGATGTTGCATAATCCTGACTAAAATAACTATATCTCTTTGTGAAACATTGTTTGCCTACTGACGAAATTGTCCAGTGAAATATGACTACTTATAGAAGTCTCAAAAAAACATGCACAATAACATATACTACTTATTCACTGAAGTAAGTAGTCGTATACTGTTCACGTCAATCACTGGTGCTCTGTAGCCAAGCAGATCCAAGTGGTCTATACGCCGGACTTGGGTTTCGCCAGTATGCAACTGAGCTCGTCACCAGTGTAGCCCGTGTGACTCAGGCCAGACAAACAAATTAGATTATATCCTCGGAGATTCTGACAATAAACACTCAACAAATGAGTGCAAATAAATTTTCTGCTCTACTTTGTAGCCATGAATATGTCGTACACTTTTCTTGAAGTAGAAAAATGACTCTCTACCACTTTATATCCTTTCAGTATTTGAAGGGTTCAATGATCATGTCAACAACTACGTGTATAAACGTATTACTCATTCTGTTCAAGTATGAATAATAAAATAATAGAAGCCTGATAAATGTGTGTATTTTTAATTGTGTTTTAATGCAAGTATACAACTTACCACATTCTCTTCCATCTGAATCTGGGTTTTCTGGTGGAACTATTTTGAAATGTATTAAAAACTGATATTATCATGCTTCCATATTGAATAACAATAATAATAATGGTGATACTTTTATTCTGAACAAGTTTAATATAATTTACAGAATTTTCAGCAGAGTTTATTGTATGATATTTTCTCTTCCTCCAGAATCTTCAAACAAAAGAACAACTGACAGTGGAAAAAGAATAAGAATAGGAAGGATGTGTTCCAGTGATACAATCGACAAGTGCTCACAGAGAATGGATATCCCCCAAGAAATATCGAGAAAAACATGAAGTTAAAGCAAAAGCTTGAAAGGACCCAGATGATGCCGAAGAAACTGGTGTTTTTATGAGCGTTGAATTTAAAGGTGATACCGCAGCTGAGATCCTGAAGAACTACTTATGCAGATCTACTGATTAGTTTCTACAACTGACAAATGATCATTGAATGCGTGAAAGATAAACCGCTACTTTGGACTGACCACTTTAATATGTGTTCATAATTCACTTGCGCCTTTGGATTTCATTACATTCGACGCACAAAGCTCACACTTTCCAAACACATCTCTGGATATTATTCGGAATGGTTAGCAAAAATACAATGCAAGACAGTTACTAGCTCAATTCTCTAACACTCGGTGAGTGCAAGTTACGCATTTCCATCACAGTCGTCTTTCAAAATTATGTACAAGTCGAAGTCAAATGGTACAATGGGCGTCAGATTTTGGCTTTTGTGTATGGTGCAGGCGCTGGCAATTCACTCATACAACTTTGAATTCTGTATATAGAAAACGTTTTTCCAGTCTCTTATTCTATCTTGGTCTTAACCTCTTCACTAGTCTCTCCTTGTAAACAATTTTATTTTTCATTTTCAATTTTACTTTTAGTTTGCTTTTGCTTTAATAATTAAATTCACTATTATCCCTCTCATATGTTCCTTTTGTACATTTTCACACCCCTTCACACTTGTTAAATTGACACTCAACTTACCACCTTTATTCTCACTCAATAGCGATTTTAATCTTATCAAATTTCTAACTTTGTGCCGCTGAGTACCACGTGATTTACGACTTTTATTTTTTTACTTCTAAAGCCACTTCTCAGTAAATAGATCAATTATGTCACCATTATTACTCAATAATGGACTACTATACGTGTTTTTTTTCATAAATATAAATACGACTGTACAGCCTCTGAAGATGATTCCGTCGATAAAGAAAATTTTCCTTGCGGAATTTTTATTTTATTTTCTTCTTGACAGTAGATTGTACAACACTCTTTTATCTGACTTGAAGCAGGAGCCAATCCAACATTATGGTATTTCTTCTCCCTCTACTTCGAGAAATACGCGATGACATTTTGTTGAATGTCAATTATAAAACGTCCGGGGGTACATTTTGTGAACCGAAAACCCTACTCGGGAATAATCGTCTCATGTGCTGCGATAGGCTGCCATGGAGCATAATGCTTTTACTAAGGTTTAGTAGAAATTTACGAAACCGTAGGTTGTGAATGTCTTAAATACCCGCCAGAGTAAACAATAATAATTCACTAGATTTAAACAAAATATGTAAGAAATCTACATGCACTATATTTATTGAGGTTTTCTGTAGCGCAGGTTTTGAACAGGTCACCTACTTTAAGTCTACTGATGTATTACTGACAAGATTATAAGAAATCAATTGAAATACTTCAAAAGCATGTTTAGCTTAAGTCAGGATATTTCAGTAGAATAACATAGGAGAGTTTCGAAATGCATATATACATAGACTGACTCTAGCGAGTGAAACTTATGACACTTACCACAGCCTGCTGCAGGAGGGTCTGAAATTATTCAAAAAACGTGCATTCATGAACATAAAGTATAATAGTGAGAAATCTGCAGAACTATTTCCGGATTGAAGGTCAAATTAACGGGATTACTATCAAGACTTAAAACCGATTCATAACAGAATAAACACAAAGATGGGATAAAAATATGGTAGGATCACAAGTATCGAGGTAATCCACTTTTTGTGCAATTAGGAATTCAAAAGGTAGTAATTACAAAATAGACAGGAATTTCAGATTAAAAAACAAACATTGTAATGACAACATGGATTAGAAAGACGTAATGAAAACAGTTATAAACAAGAAGTTTAATTGCGAAACTTAATGGGATTGTCACTATTGACAGAAAAGACTGTTTATGATTGCCATAGCAACGATAAAAGTTGAACGCCTGTATTCTTCCTTTTCTAACCGAATAAGATAGTGGTCCGGAGTGCACTGTACAAGTGGAGGCATGGTATGTCCGATGTACTCAGTTCAGTGGGAGTACGTGAACTAGTGTATGTACTTTAAAGTGGCCGAGTGTAACAATGAGCACTGTTGAAACGTACCCCTTAAATAGACTACAACTCGAATGCAACAATATATACTGCCACACAAATTAGCAGTACTCAAGCACTGAAACTGATGAATTTACATAGGTATGCTTTAACATCACCATGAAATGGAATGGTTGTTTGACAGACCAGAAATAATTCAAATACTCAGAGGGCCATTAGAAATAGTATTCTTATTTAGCTTACTAAATTTTTGATCAGTTTAATTGGTCACAAACCAATACTTCAATATCAGTGAGATACTGACTAGCGACTTGCCCTATTCAGGTAGGTAATTACCTGGGGTTCTAGTGGGAATTCGTGACCAGTAGGGTGCAGCAGGTCGGGTGTGAGGACAAATACTCGCCACCGGAGACATTGGCTAGAGGTTGCGCTATTTCGTGTTTTGGCAGAAGTTAGAATTCGTGTGCTACTGGATTGGGTTCTAGTAGCTTAATGGTCAACGAGCTCGTTATGCAACTGGAAGGTCCTGGGTCCGAACCCCGACAGGTAGGTGCTGATGAAAGTCTCGAACTAGGACGAAACGGTGTCCGGTACTTCCAGGTTTTCCAATGGTTCTCTAATCAATGTCAACTGATGATGAAATCCTTTGGCCAATCAACTAAATCTCTACAAACCAATTCTTGATGATCAGTTTAAATAGAAAGTGCTTTTATTCGCTAAATACACTTTTCCCTTACAGTGTTCGCCGCATACAAATAAGCCTGAAAATAAATAAATAGATAAATAATTGTCTGGTTCATAGAGCGAGGATAATCTGTTCAAACGAATCTCTCAACGAGGAGCTTAAGATTATGAGAGAATTACTTAGTAAAAAATGGTCACCAAGACAAATTCACTTAGAAAAATACCTGGTTTCGCCTCCAATATTTGTATCTATCAGTTTGACTGCAGCTGCGGGCCCAGCTTCATCAACCTTAAAATTAGGCCGGTTCATCATCGTATTTCCGAACATCATCCTACATTTCATTATAATGAGGGTTTTTGTATTTCCCAATAAATGAAAAACCTTTTAACAATTACAATTGTTCAAATTATTTTATCATTCATATGACTATTTCATCTTTAATTACAAGTTACCATTGTCTAAATTGCTTAATTTTCTTTAATTACCTCTTACATAATCAAGCCGAAGACACGCTTATTCTTTAATTACTCTTCTTTTTTTTCTGAAATTATACATTAGGCAGTCCACTTGTCGTAACCATTTATACCCTTTATTTCTTTATATTGATTTTCTTCGCTAAATATCGCCCGTCACTTTGACATATTGACACTGATTAATTATTGTTAGCAAGCATATCAGTGCCACTTGATTGTTATTGTTGTGCACTGTATTATAGAATGCTATATGTGTCTATTAGAGTAGACTCAGAGTGAGATGAGGATCTAATTGAAAAGTAGCTATTTCTTCGCTCAATCCTGCTGCATTGAAAATAAAATGTTCTAACACACAATGAGAATTACTAATAACTTATATTCCTATTGATGGCATCATCAGAAGTGTCAAGAGGAATCTCGACGAGATTTTGACTTTCACAATGACCAACTTTCATAGAAATATTATCATTACTTCTATTCCTTAGCGTGCCTAGTGGAACAAAAAGTTTCATCTATGAGCTTTGCAGTTCCAATAGCACTGACGTTATTCTCGTTTACGAGGTTTAGTAGCTAGACACTTGCCTAACTGTCCACTTTTTGAGATATTCTATGTGATATGCAGATATTTCCTGAGGTTGTGTTTTTGGTGCACTAATTTTTGTACAGTACATATTTTGCATGTGGGAAATTTTTGGACCATTTAGCTGTCTCATGGCACTGTTGAGGTAATTATGTGTATCTGTTATGTCATAAATGCCTAGCAGTACCACAGAGTTATCGCATTTAATTGTGGTATTGCCATCATTTCTACATTTCGGACTATGATTTACTCCTGAAAATGTCATCAGGAGATGAGGGGTTGGGTTCAATAATGACCATGGCTGAAAAGGATAATGGGTAGTAGAAGAAAGAGGATGTGTTTTTGAAGCCCTATGTCTGCCTCTCGGAACCCAAGGGAATAATAAATTACAGAAGACATTCATTGGTTCCTTGAGTTAAAAACGGAATACCTGGTGTCTAGTAATTACAAATTGTAAATTGTAGTTTTTTCGATTTCAATGGCATCACACAGATCACACAATTGATCTAAATATTTTTAATTCATAAAGAAACCTCAGATGAATTCTACCTAAATGACTAAAACTAAGCAAACTTTAGTTGTGTCGAAATCTATTCAGAAGTTTGTGGAAGACTATCCGTTCTCCATCAATATTTACACAAAAAATAAAATTTCTCCCAAATCCATATGTCAAAAGAAACTCTCTTCGATCTTTATGTGTACTGATGACGGAAAATCCATAAATGTGCATTGAAGAAGCTGAATCAAGTTTCAGGAAAAGCGTTCTAGATTTCAAATAATAAATGGCAGGAAATATTCATGGAACTGACCTGAGGCTAAATAACTTATTGCATATAATTAAATGGACCGTTATACTATTCCCATAAATTAAAAACAAACTGACCAACCCTGTTCAAATCGTTTCTGAATTATAGACACTCTGTTAACTTGAAACTATACACTTCCTCTGACAAGGAGAGAAGTTTGCTCATCGAAAATCGTTATTGCCAAATCAAAAGACAGCGTCAATTTATCATGAATAAAAACGCATAAAACTCACAGCGAGGTAGAGATGCGGGTTTATCTAAAGAATTTTTCAAAATCTTGAATTAACTGCTGTTAGATTTTATTCATTATACTCTTATGGTTGAATGAAATGTATTCAACGTGTTATGTCTGTAGACTTCAAACTGTGGTCAGGTGAAATTAGACATACCGTCATAGGTTAAACTTTGATACTGAGCCTATGTTAGAATAAACCACGGAGAGGCAATCAAAACTCACTCCACCTCAACTTCATCGACTTCGACAAGGCCTTCACCAGACAGCGTTGACCAAGAAGTAATTTTGGAAACTACTTCAAAACTACACAGCGAGGCTTTTGAAGTACATACAGGAGTAAGACAATTCTAGCTGCATATTATCCCTAATGATGGTATTCTTAATTGTGGTGGATGGGATTATGCGTAAGACTGTGGCGAACGAGGAGACAGGAGTGCTCTAGACAACAGATGAGAAGACTCTAGAAGATCTGGATTTCGTGGATGATGCCACGTAAACTCAAAGACTTTCGGGCAGGTGAAAACCAACAGACTGGCTGAAGAGGCTGGCAGGCAAACATGGGGAAGATCAAGGTGATGAAGATAACTAACCAATAGCAGCAGCAAGAACAACCAGCGCACCAATCATCATCAACAGGAGATATTTACACTAAGGTTACTTCCTTCACTTATATAGGGAGCATCGTTTCAAATATAAGCGTAATGCATGAGGGTGTGAAAGCCAGTCAGGATCGGAAGGCCCAGAAACGCTTGCATCAATGTGAAACCAATCTGAAAATCTGCACTCAACACAAGGGACAAGATTTCGATTCTGTTCACAACACACCTGTCAAGTTTGTCCTTCAATGCGGGTCATAAACCACCTGGCCAGTGTGTAGCGAAAAGGATTTCTAACAGCTTGCAGACTTCCATCAACAGCTGCCTTCACTAGCGTCATACTGAAGATTGAACTGCCAGAAAAAATTGGAAACAAGAAAATCTGGGAACGAACTAACCAAGAGCTGGGTTGCGCAACAAATATGTAGGAGTAAAATGGAGATGGATTGATCGGTCATACATTGAGGAGACCGTTGAATGACATCGCGCTCAAAGCAGGCCATAGCTTGAGCGGCATCCCAGTGTTACCGATGAGGGCGTCGTCGACAAGTGGATGACATGGAGGAGATCATGTCACAAGGAGGCAGACGAGATGAGACATTATGAGTAATCATGGGCCCAGCTGATAAAGGCATCAGAAGATAGGAGAAAAAAAGGGAGATGTGTTGTTGAAGTCCTATGTTCCATTCGGAACGCAACGGAATAATAGTAATAATAATATGGAACAAGTGTGCAGTGTAATTACTTACTGAGCCTAATACACTATGCTGTCTTAAAAGTAGGCAAACAGTAGTCACTCCAAAACCCAGAATATATTAAATTAGCCCTAATATAGTGACCTGTAGGATGTCAAGTATGCCTAACTCAAACCATGTCATGAATATACTACCTTCAGTTTCTCGAAAGGAAACATCCCTTTTGGACTGATATTCCAGCTATCACCACAATTACCCCTGAAAATAAACACAGTACTGAGCTTACCATCCATGCAAACAGTATCACCTTGAAAACAGAAATGAAATTCTTCACTAAGAATTGGTGTATACTAACACATAGTTGAGTATTCTGAATTAATTCTGCTTCCAGCAAATGCCATTTATTGGAAATTATTATTATTATTAATTATTGAGAATTAACCATCATTATACTTATACTACAAGTAATCAATATAAAAATTCTCATATTTCACTAAGTTTCAAGATTGTCAATGGAAATTCGCTAGCGATCCAGCCATATATTGCAAACTAACAGATATTTTAATTCATCCAATGAGTCATCTGACGTCGTCCCAGTTGCCAGTGAATGGTCAACAGGGTTGCATTGTAACCTGAAAATCCTGTTTTCGATCCATTGTACGGTCATGGGTGTTTACTGTTTAAGACCTGGAGACATGGACGAAACAGTGGTTCTCCAGCTGAAATCATTTCGTAACCATAGTTACCAAATCCCCAATAAGCAACCTTTGAGTATAGCAAATAAACCACTGGCTACAGTAAAGGTAAACTGGATTTAGGCTCACTATGTTAAACATGATATACATTCATAATGTTTGTATAACTGACATACAGATAAATTTACTGCCAACTGAAAATAAAATAGTAACGTTTTGCAAATTTGATCATCAGTTTTTCCAAAATAGAAATTTATAATAATCAAACAAATTAATCCGACAAACTGTCTACTCAGTCTACATAAACTGTATAAAAACGATTTAAGTGGTTAGTGCTTTTTCTGTTAAAGACTAGAAACGAACTCTTTAGCTGAAAAATCCAAAAAGGACTGAATGCTTATCGTGGATTTCAATGTCCATCAAATTGCTTCAAGCTATTTGCTCAGACATCATCGAGGCGTTCATTATAAGCATCGATACTACAACAGACGCCAAAAATTTCAGTTGAATCAATCAAACGACAAATTCGAAATTGAACTTAAAACAATTAGTGACTGGTACGCATTGCACAATAGGTGGCTCTCATTGCCTAATTGGTCTAGTGGATAACGATTTGGTGGGATTCACTTGGACTGGTCAATTCCAACTGATTCACATTTCAATTCATCAGTATGTATTACTTGAACAAATGCCACGTGTTACCATGATGCTTAATGTAAAGTTACTTGCCAGACAGTTAATATCTTTGGTTCTAGATGAATAAAGGAAATCGGCCACCTAGGTTTCATACAAGCTGGAACTCAGCAATCAATCAGACGTCGTATCTGAAACCGTGAAGGAGTTCGTGTCCCTTCTCAGACTCGAACCTGCATCACCAAGTCCTGCAGTCAGAAGTGAACTTACCACTGAGTTATTCGTGCTGGCTTGTGACTGAACTCCTGTAGGACGGACCGTATTTGATACTTTTAATTGGACCCCAGTAAGTAACTAGTGTAATGTGTCTAGTCCTCTCTTTCGTGCAAACTGAACTTTATCAGTCATGTTTGTAGTGTGACCACCATGCCACTTGGTGGCTCAGCATCACGGAGCACAATGAATTGTTGGTATGATATGGATGGAGACGATCGTCAGGAAGCCTTGACTATTTTTAGATTATTCAATATTTATTTACTTACAGTGATAAGTTTTTTTCATTTTATTAATATTATGGACAGAATTACTACTAATGGTAGAAGCGAAATGGGTGTTTCTAATGTTTTGCTATCCTGCAGGTCGCAGTTGATGATGCTTTGATATTTTTGAATCGATGGTTTGGAACACTATGGTTCACTAGGATGTGAAGTCATCTAACTAACTGGTAAGTTTAAGTGACAGTGAAAGGTACGTCGTTGACCCATCTACTAACCACCATCAAGTGAATATTCTAAATTATTCAGTAACCGATGAGGGTTTTGAACAATTTTTTACTTTGATTTAGAAAACTGAAGATCTTAAGATGTTGCAGATTCACTCACAAAAGTAATTTCATTCCGACTTTGCTGATACACAATGTGTTGCCAGAGAATTGTTAGTATAATTATTCATGACTTTCTATGACGGCGAGCATGTTTTCTTTCTAACGACAAAGCCTGATTGATGGCGAACACATCGCAGATAGTTAGGGGGAGGGGTGAACACATACATAGTTAGAAATCAAGACTTGAACTGTGAAAATACTGTTTATTTATTTAGCCACTGTTAAGCAACTTACGAATCAGTCGACATTCGCCTCTACCTACAAATATTATAATTAATTGGAAGGTAAATGTAGGCATAGAATAAAGACACTTTAGCAGAGTATAATTCTATTGGTGATAGAAGAGATCATCAATTACAATTACTCGGTGATAAAATGATCCGATTTCAAGCGTGGGATCGTAAAAGCAGGAGAAAACTGTTTCAGTAATTTTAAAATCCCCATAATGATTATTGCAGAACACGATTTGAGCAAGCGAATACGTATTTTGGTAAATCCACATTTACAAAATGATGAAATATTAGTCATAGGCATTTGAATTTATGTGGCTAATAGAGTATACTAATTTTTTGATATGGTTGCCTTCTCTGAGCTGGAAAGTTAATTTACAAAGTTTTCATTGCCCTACTGTGAAACATCTTCAACGCATACTTCAATTTGTTGAAGTGAGCTTTTAGATTTCTCCACGAGTTTGTTAGTCATCTCTCCTGGTGAGTGATTTTGAGCGTGATTGGTTGTTTATGTGTGTTTTTACACCATCCAGGCCACTTGAATTGATACTGATTGAGTTGAACTTTGACCTTTGTGTGTGAGGTTTCCTTCGTATCGGTTGGTAAAATTTGTTTATCTTGTTGTGTCTATTGATAGATGATTCACTGGAGCACCAGGCATTTAAACATTCTCTTTCGTTCTTGGTGTTTCCTCTGTCTAATATTTGAACGCTGGTTGCCCTAGTCGAATTGATATCCACGGTTGTCTGTAAATAGTGATATGAGGTGGGGAGCGGATGTCTTGACTTTGAGACAGCTAGCTTATGTTCGTGGATACGAAGACGAAGGGGACGTCCACTTTGGACAATGTAGTGTTGTTCGCAATCGTTGCAACTTATTTTGTCGATGATGTTGGTTTTTGTCTCCTTTCGTCGTTGAGTCTTTTCGTTGAGATGGAACTGAGTGAAGTGATTTTGTTTGTTTTTGTTTGCGACGTCAATTCCTAAATGTTTGAAGAGTCTTCCAGTGATTTCTGAGATGTCCTTTATATATGGTAAGGCGATTTTCTTTGTGCTTTCCTTGGTGGCTTTTGCTTTGATACCTTGGCTTGCGGGTACATGTCTTTTCGTGAAATTCCGTGGATATCCATTCTTTTAGAAAACGTCCATGAGATACTTTTCTTCAATTTTCCCTAAGGTGGGAATGCTGCAATGAGTCCTTGCCCTCTTGAATAGTGTTTGTTTGCAATTCCTTTTGTGTGTTATTGGATTGTTGCGGTTGTAATTCAGGATTTGGTCTGTGTGAGTTGATTTTCTATAAACCTGAGTTTCTCATCCCCCTGTGGTTGTTCGCTTGACTAAGACGTCCAAAAGTGGGATTTCGTCCTCGAATTCCTCTTCTCTTGTGAATTTGATATCGTTGAAGACGTTGTTTTTTAGTTTGCGAGTTTTATTCAATTCGCTTTTTTGATTATTACCAATGTGTCGTCTGCGTAACGTATCCAAACTCATTGTTCAGTTCCAATACAAGTAGCCTAGAGGGAGTGAAAACCACACGAAAACAGTCAATCACGCTCAAAGTCACTCACCGGGAGAGATGACAAGCAAACTCGTGGAGAAATCTAAAAGCTCACTTCAACAAACTGAAGTCATGCGTTGAAGATTTTGCATAGTAGGGCAATGAAAACTTTGCAAATTAACTGTCCAGCTCAGAAAACACTACCATATCAAAATAATCCACCTGAGCTACAAATCGTCTCCGTCATATATAGAATATACTATCAGAGCTCAGAAGTGTGAATGAATGGAAAGCAATCAAGATAATTACTGATGGACTTTATGACACCTTTACTCAACCACGTTGAACAATGCTGAAGAAGGCAACGATGGTCTTTCCGTGTCGTTCTACCTAATGTAACTGTCTTTACATGGACAGTTAAATTTATAAATGCACACTAAGGTGGCCAGACTCGGTAGCTTATGCTTCACCTAAGTTGGAATCATACGACCATTGGTGAATTTTAAACACGATTTTGCGACAAAGAATGTTTCAGCTATTACTTTTTGAAGTTTTGATGCCATCAAATCAATTACTGAATCTCCTTTAGGCGCTGAAGTCATGTATATGCGTTTCTTCTGCACTGTTTCCAAGCATTTCTTTCTATTTGTTCCCCTCATCTAGATTTTAACAAATGTTTCAAGGTATCCGTTCATGTACCAAAAGTTTTCTGTTTTCCTTATTTCATCGTCTAGAGTATCGGTTGTGCAGATTCTCCAACTGCGATACATCAAGATTCTGATAAGATTTCATTTGTATGCAGGAGGAACAATCAAAATGACTTGATTGAGAGCAGGTATCTTCATTGGATGGATATTTATCACAATGTGACAGTGCTATGTGATAATAGTTATTTTCGCCTCTCCTCCTACTGTGGTGAGAGATGTCTGCTAGCTAAAATCGTTAGACAGCAATTTAAGTCAGTGTTTATGTCTCAAATAGGGATCATGAGAAAAAACAAAGAACAAACCTAACCTTGAAGAACTCAAAATCCAATCACAGCAGACCTAGCGTGGGCAGATACGATTCGCAGATATATGACTTAACTTCCTAAGAAGCGGTACAGAATAACCTTCTGCAGGAAAAACAACCGATCCGAAGAGATTGCTTCTCCGCTGACAATAATATACATAAAAATCTATAAATATCTGCTGATTTTCTCAGTAAACGATCTGTTGCTTGGCCCCTGTCATCTGCCATTACATTAATAGTATGCAAATTCTGCCTATACACTTACCGTTGCCCAGACAATATGGAATGCACATTTACTAAGGAGACTGTCAAGTGACAAAGTGTGTCAGCCGAGTTTCTGAGAGGATCTCAAACGGGAAATAATGAGTTGGGAGTGAATCTGAGGATAATATGAAATGAGAGAGCCTGTGAGCAATCATGCAGTCAGCTGAGAAAAATCTCAAGAAACAGGGTCAAATAGTGATGTGCTGCTAAAGCCGTATGTTCCATTTGGAAAACATGGACAGAATGCTGCAGAATGAAACGAAGTCACTTAGAAGCTGAGTGACCCATTATAATCCAGTATATTTGTAGCAGGAGAATGTATCATTCAAGGAATTAAATTAGCAACACGAACGGATTCAGAGAAATGGTTTCAATAAATTGGTAGTAATACCAATTTTATAGTTTATGCAGCCGGAGTAAGTACAATAATGCCTGCTTAATATACTCTGAAATTTACTACCGTGCTGAATCTTTGGTGGAATAAAATTCTAATATTTCAGGTTATGTTGAGTACGCTGATTGCTTCAGACATATTTCTAGTTGGCATATGTATCGAATTTGAAATGAATTAAGTCATAAGGTATATGATATTAGCATTATAAAAGTTTATATGCCTGTCAATAAATGACCGAATCCCTAAGGAGTCTCAGCCGAATTGTCTCCACAAAAATAAAATGCTTGCTTGGAATGTGATGCGGTAAAAAACATCGGACAAACATTGCCAGAAAGATATCATGGTAATCAGAAGTTATGAACTCTGTAGAGCCGCCTTTGTTCGATCAACGAGAAATCCAGTTGAATTAGGAAAGCTTGAAAAATCATCAGACATAGATAGTCTATACACTATAGAATCGCGTCACAACACTGATTTTGACAATATTGAAATAATCCAGAAAAATTTGAGAAATCACAGAGAACGTCTAATATCAGAAGTGGAATCCAAATTGTCTGAATGAGAATGATGGACTAAAATATAATTTGGTTTGATTAAGATAACCTCCTTCTCCCGTCATGAACTGCCATATTCAACTGGAATATGGTAACTAATTTCAATGTGTAAACACATACTGTTTTTATAATTTTATACGCTTAACAAATCCATCAATCTTTCCTAGTAGTTTTGTTATCTTTACGAATTGAGTAAATTGACCTCATGCAGGTGAAGGTGATTAGCTGTTATATATAAGCTGAGATTTTGTAAATTCTGGTATAATAATACTACTTTGATAAGGCCATCAGCAGTATTCAATATGGAAATGTCATTCAGGACAATATCGCCTAGTCTTTTCCAGTGTATACGCAAATATAGATTACTTCTATGATTGTAAAATTGTACCATGGTAAAATAAAGTGGAAAATTTACGTACATTTCTCCTCGTTTAGATTTACACCTATAATAAAAGAGATTGAGAGAGAGGGAGAGAGAGAGTGACATTTACGGTGTAAATGTGTATATTAAATTCAAGCAGGCTTACCACAAATATCAAATATCCTCATTCCCTTCGAGATAATTATTCTGACTCTCTGCGCTCATCAACAAGTTTATCAACAATAATGATTTAGAAAATCGCTGTCAAATTATCAGCGAATCTTCTAACTGGTGTCAGTCCGTGATCAGCTCACAAAAAACAATCTAATCCTTACAAAAACAACGAAAGAAAATTAATCTGGTTCCCGCTAGTGACTGACTTGCTATTGGACGGAGTTTCCTGCACTTCTAGTGGGAAGTCTTGACCAGTGAGCTCCATCCAGTCAAGGGTGAGGATGGGTGACCCATCGATGATATTGGTTGGTGGTCACGCTAAATCACGAATTGGTAGAAGTTGGAATTCATAGGTTGGCCAGTGAATGGGGTCCCAGTTGCTCAATGGAATACGAGCTCGCTCTGCACGAAACTTAAGCCGATCACCTCCAAACATCGAATATCAACTATAGTTACACCTTTGGATTCCGAGTTGGACATACTGCTTCAATCGTATATTTCTATTTTTCCTTGTCCTCCGTAATCTTCTTCACTTAGACTCACGACTGTTGATGGGCTATCATTTCCTCCTTACCGATCTCCCTCGTGTTACACCCAAGTGCGTCGGTGGCACAGTGGTTAGGACTCTCGCCGACCATGCACATGGTCCGGGGTTCGAGCCCACGCCGGCGCACACCTGATATCTATGGTCGGCCTGCAAAATTTGGGCTACCGATATCCATGCTGAAAATTCCATACTTGTACCAAAAATACGGTGTGGAATCAAGCTGTAAATCAAAAAAAAAAAAGTAACTAACTCATCATTCTCCAACTGGATTCCACTGCAGTACCTGTCTAGAACACGATTTTACTCAGGAGTCTCCTCAACGTATGTCCTATCCATTTCCTTCTAGATATTTATTTAGTAATTGGTTGTTGATTGGTTCGTCCTTATTGCAAATTCTTCCGGTCCAGCGGGCGATCCGATCATCGATATGAAGTCAACGAGTGCGCCGGTTGTTCATGCAGGTACTGAGAAGCCTGTTGAAAATTGTTTTCGTGACCGAGATAAAAGAACTGTTCAAGGAAGATAATTTATTCGAAAATGTGTCACTCTATTGTCTGTTAGAGTTATGATCTGAGTCGCTAATTTGCTATATACCTGTCGCTAAGTGATATGATCTCACTGACAGATGACATGACCGAGTGGACTAATGCGTAGGTATAATAATACAGACACAATGAACAACTCAGCCGACTTTTTAATGGCACCCTGAGCTTCACTGAGGTACATAAATATCAAAAGACCAAGACTAAACTATGACTCTAAGGATACTGTCTTTATTAGAGAAACCACGTGATATTTATACATCTTAAACCACATTAAAGTCGGCCCAGGGCAGTGGGAAATAGATTTTCCTGATTGGTAGGCGACTCGGTTAGGTCGGCGAAAAACTATTCTGAACGGTTTGCGATCTGATGTAGACGAATGTGATTAAAAGACGAAATTTTATAGTCATTCGATCACATGATTAGTCACATGTTCAGTGGAAAGACAATTACCGTTTTAATCTGATTTCTACCAGTTAGATGCTAGGGTTAGTCAGCAGGGAGGCATGAACTTGGATCTCGTATGTATTGATATTTATCAACAAAGTTGAATGAACTTACCGGTACAACCTTTTTTGCCTACAAATATTATTCAAATTTGTTTTTAAATAGTTTAAGAGAATAGAAAATTATCTTCTATGACGTATGAGATATTCATATTAATGGTGTAATTTCTACTATTTCTGATGACTGAATTCTTCGTTATCATTTTGACATTATACTACTGATAAGATTTATCAGTAGCACATAAAGAGACGTTCATCATCATAAAAAACATCCAGATAGCAAGAAGAGAGATTTGATTCCAGAGTTGCAAGGACACATGGAAGACATGAAAGAAATATAAAGAAACACAATCTGAAGACTAGAACTATAAGAAAACACGGAGATCTATGCAAACGGTGCATATAGAGAAATCAGCATCGGTGGCATCGCGGTTGAGACGCTCACCGACCATGCACATGGCCCGGGGTTCAATCCCCCGGTGACGCACTCCTCTACCTCGCTGAGTCTGAAAAAAATGCTGGTAAAGAGGAAAGTTGAGCAGGAGGCTAGCAACCCCATCCTGTAAAATAAACACTGCTACAGAAACTTCAAGCCACTAGCTTGAAGCCCTATGTACCACTGTGGAAGGTGAAGGAAAAAAAGTAGAGATACCAATTACCAATTTTTTGTCTTCTATCGTTTCTGATTTTAAATGTGCATGATAACAAAGTACCAGATAGGTGTTCATAAGTTTTTAAACTCCTATTTTATTCAGTACAGTTTGACACTGACTTCTGAACTTACATTTTTGGTATTCACTGTCATTTCTTGCTGTGATAGAAAGGTGCACATTGTGCATAAGCTTGAATTATCTATCAATTTACTGAAGTTAAATTTCTTCAATCCCAAATAGTTTTGTTAAAGTATACAAAAAAGTGCATCAGTAGCACGAAAAATAAAACAAAATAATTCACTCTGATGATAATGAACGAATTCTTCGTGTATTTTGTCAGGATTACATTAACATACACTAACATAATAAACAGAATCTATGCAACAATTACTCTATAGTGATGAAAACATAAAAACGCAATGTTCAACTTGGATGATGGGACTCATAAAATAATGCTTTACGACATACTTCCAATTCAATACTCAAATATATGAACAAAAACAATGAACACCGATGGGATCATAGCCCATATTAGGATTAATAGCCGAAGCCGTCATGCAAAGATTAGAATTAATAGCTCTACCTATAATTAAACCAAACGTCTTGGCACGTTACGTTGATGATACATTTGTAATAATTAAGAGAAATGATTTAGAATATACACATAAATTAATAAACAACATATGTGAAGACATCAAATTCACAAGAGAAGAAGAATTAGATAACAAAATCCCATTTTTAGATGTCTTAATCAGGAGAATCAACACAGGAAATTTAGAAACACAAGTATACAGAAAATCAACGCACACAGATCAAATACTCAGCTGTACTAGCAACAATCCAATTGCACACAAACGAAACTGTGTGCAGACATCGTTTAAAGGAGTTCAAACACATTGTAGCACTTCGGAGTTGAAAAGAATGGAAGAAAAATACCCAAAACGGTCTTCAAAAAGAATGGTTATCCACAAAATTTTATCAAACAATGTTTAAAGTCGAATCGAAACACCAACAGGGAACCATCATCAAAGACCACGAGAAAATTCACCCTACCACACATGAGAATATCTCTGAAATCACAGCTAGAATACTGAGACCGTTTGACATAGATGTAACACACAAGCCCGTCAAATCGCTTAATTCGATATTATGCAAACCGAAAGATAAAATTCATACCATTACAAAATGAACTGTACGAACTCTAACAGACATTACATCGGTCAAAGTGGGCGTCCCCTTCGAATTAGAATGCAAGAACACAGATCAGCCGTACATCATATCAATGCACAATATTCACTTATGGACATCAATTTGATTGGGATAATGTCGAAATCTTAGACAGAGGAAACACCAGAAGTACAGCGAGGGAATTCCTAGAAGCCTGGTACTCAAACAAATATGCAATTAACAAGCACTTTAATATAGACGAAATATACCAACTAATAAAAAGTAAATCAGGTGACCAGAAAATTTTAAATCCAAGTCAATAGAAAATGGTCAATACATATCTAAAGATGGTTAGGGTGAGACGCAATTATATCACTCATGAAGAAAAATTTAAATAATTTCAATTTATGGTAAATGTTGCGCTGAAAATGTTGTCTGGAAGGACGACGAAAGCTCCGCAAATAAGTCAACCAGCTCAGAGAACACTATTAATTACAAAAACAGAGACCTCGCCTAATTTACTAGTTCGCTCGTTTACTAGCTGATCAGAAACCAGGTCAAAGAAGGAAGGTTTGGCGTGCAGCTAGTGACTCTATCCCGGAAAACTAGTTCAGCCAATACAGAAACTTCCTGGAATCGGTGAGATATAATTTCACATGGGACTGATGAACGCCTTTGGAAAGCTTGTCAATCAATAATTCTTTTTTCGATGGAACAGAAATAGGTTTGGGGACGCGAAAGTTTCACATAATTTTACAAGTCACATAACCAATAAGATATGGCATGAAATTGCTAGAAATCTATAAAAGCTGCTGATAGAATGGATTTGAATTATTTAAATAACTAATTGGACATTCAGGAATCTACTGAGGCAACCTAGACGACTACCACGAATAAAGTGAAGGAGTGGCTGTTATAATGTCATCAATAGCAGCCAAAGCTGTAATGCAGTAGGACCTAATACCTTTCTGCATGATTACGGAAGTAAGATTTAGTTCAAAATGAAGCCTGGTTTACAATAATCCGATGCTTCATGGACTCAATGCGACATGGATTTCACCTAAGTGACACACCAGAAACCAGACAGACTTTATCTCAATCTTAAGCAAACGGAGACACATGTTGCTGGACACGAAGTCAGGAATGTGAGCAGATGTGTGCTTAGAGCATTGTCTAGTGAAAGGAACCTTCAAGGTCAAGATGAAAGTCTCGAAAGCAACTGTAGGCAGACGGTAATTCAAGTTCATTACACAGAAACGGAGAAAAAAACCATAAAAGACACCTTCACCGAAGCTATCACAGCGAAGTCGGCGACACTTAGTAGTATCAATGAATAAATCAACGTGGGAGAACATTAGAACTCAGTGAAGATGAGGGTCAAGGAAAAGTGTATAGACCCACTGGTAACCAAAGCAGAATAGGCCACAGTTACTGGGCACCTCAGAACACTATATAAGATAACCAGGTGGCCATCAAGAGAGAGATAAACACAGATGAGAGCAGCGGAAAGTGGACAAGGGCATCTTATTACCGAAGAAGAGAAGGAAAAGAAATTATGAGGTAATCAATCTGAAGTACTCTTGAATCGAGTATCAAATGTGACTCGTCCAAAATTACAGCTGATAAAATCAACCGTAGCACTCCTAGTGAATACCGGTCCATCAACAAAAGCAGACGTCCTAAGTGTAATCAAACCAGTGAAAATCAGTCGAGAATGAGGAAGGATGGAGTAAAATTACTCCGAAAGCACTGAAAACGGACCTAGAAAACAGTGACAGATTACCTGGCACTACCGTCGTAAAACGTTTGCAAGGAAGAACACCAACCTGCTGAGTGGAAATGGCGTAAGCTTGCTGAACTGACAAAACAGAGCAAAATTAGGCCTCTGCAGGAACTGGGAAGTAACACTATTCTACTCACATCAAGGAAAATATGGAATCTCAAAATCCAGGAGGGATTAAAGGTAGCTGTGGATGCAGAACGCCACCCAGAACAAGCTGAACTGAGGGAAAGCAAGTCAATGGAAGATCAAACTGCAATGCTACACGTCATCATCGAACAGAACACAGCATGGTGGTCAAACGTTTACCTGAATTGCACCAAACGTTATTCGCCCCTTTTCAGTAGCTCTGTGACGATGCCATACGTCAACGGATATATTGCACTATATCTTTTCTAAGAGAGCTTCTTTTGAAATGCACAATGAATGTCCACTTTTTATTTAATAAGGAACTATACGGACAATTCGATGGTGTGGCAATGGAGTCACCACTAAGACGAATTCTAGCCGACATTTTCCTTGCGAAACTATAAAACGAGTCTTTGAAAGGTGTAATTGGTGAACTTGAATTCTATTGTCGGTACATGAATTATACATTTGTGACTATGATAAATGAGGACGAAGCGCAGAGAACATCCTGGACAAATTTAACGATGTTCGTCCTGCGATACATTTTACTATTGAGAAAGAAAAAGACTCCAGCATTTCATTTCTAGACGTCCTCATGACCAGAGAATAGGATGGCACAATAAGAAGAAGTGTACATAAAAAGCCTACATCAATGGATCAGTATACTCATTTTTTCAGCTTCATGCCTTTGAAATAGAAACGCAGTCTTATAAAGTGCTTGGTTCACAGAGCAAGAGCAATCTGCTCGGATGAATGTCTTGATGAGGAACTGAATAATAATAAACAGTCGCTGAGTAAAAACAGTTACCCAGAAACGTTTATTGATAAGAATATGAATCTAATATCGAAGCAGACCAAGGTACCAACAGTTCCTAAAAAGACCTTATTCTGACAAATTCATTACCTTGGAGATAGTATCAGCGAAATATTAACACGATGCCTTGAAAATGCGGTGAAAGGAGCATTCCTGTTACTGAATTACCCCTATTTTACGTTCGGGAGTAAAAGACAAACTGCCTAATTCCGCCTCTTCCTCGTGCATCTACCAATTTAAATGCTCCTGTGGAGCTACTTAGTTGCAAAGGCCGTACAATTAGACGTGTTTATCATCAGATTTCTGAACATCATCCTGCCTGGTTAAGTAAAGGACAAACAAAATCCATTCATAGCGCTATTCCATGTCATCTTGTTTATACAAAGTACAAGACTGATGTCAACGAGGCAGCTTTCAAAGTCATCCACCACGCATACCAACAAATCTTAACGTCGCTTTAAGAGTTCATTTACTAAATATTGCTGAGACTGGCTGTTGAGATCCACATTAGGAAGGCTAACTTATGTGTCCAAAAGAAGCTAATTCAGACATTGTTCTTACTTTGGCCATCCACGTTCGCAGGATCCTCAATTTTTTGTACAAATTTCTCCAATTTTAGTTGATATTCTATTTGCTATTATATTTGTATGCTTATTATAATTTATGCATATTTAATGAACTATAATTCCATTGTGATCTTACTTAACAAATCAATATTATTTAAAAAAACACCACTATTGTTATTAACTACTATTCCAGAATATTCTATGTGTATAAACATATCTATGTATGTAATTGTAGAGTCATAAGAGGAAATTATCGACAAGGATATTCTTTGCTCAATCAACTTGACAGTACCCTACTATTCTCTACGCACATAAGTAATGTTAATATTCATACTTACAATTCTGTGAGCATTGTAGTGTACCTGAAATAAAGGCAAATGATGTTCCAACTTATTTCATAACATGTACAGTGTACTGAACAAACTATGCATATAATAAATCAAAACAAATCTTCAGATACTCCCTAACTTCATATTTCTAATCTGATGAAATGCTGACATTCCATGAGGATGGAAATAAATAAAAATTATCTCTGAAAAAACAAACCCGAATCCCCCTTGTAACCAGAAGGTACTGAGTTCGAACCCCATTGGTATGGGTGCGTACTACTGAAGAATCTCGAACCAGTATGAAACAGCTGTCCAATACTTTTAGGTTTTCCAATGGTTCTCTAGCCAATGTCAGCTTATGATGAGATCCTGTAACAAATCTAAGAGTGTATATGTGTATGTAAAATGAACTGGGAGTCCTGAATTTTAAAATCTTATCGCCTATCGTTTGAACCAATAGTAATGCATCGATGGCTGAGGCATAGAATGCTATTTATTCACACACACACACACACTTTGGGTTCAATTCCCGGGTGACATCGCTTCGCCAGTTGCAAATGCGGGAAGGAGGGAAAGTGTAACAACAGAAGATAAGGGCCAGGAAACAGATCGTTTATTAAGGAAGTCAACACGTATTTATATATTTTCATGTACATTATTATAGCTTGTTCAAGCAAACAAACACACTCTTCTGATTGATTGTTTCACACAGAATGGTGACTGTGCATCTCTTTGTCACTGTTTATCGAATGTAAGGTCATCTATATGTTAACTGTATCTGCCTACGCAAAGTCTGCTGTGACTGGTTGTTGAATCAGTCATGTTCATACTTTGTCATGACCAATATTTGTGACATGAACATTGACGGAAATAATTGTCTGCTAATTTGGCTAGCAGCCTGCTGTCACCACAAAAGTACTGCGTGAGAGTAGCCACCTCATTTGAGTAGAATAAAATCAACGTTATTGAGAATTCAAAAGCTTGAACCCCTGTGCTACATTCAGATCTTTAGGAATGGAACAGAAACAACTTGATTTAAAACTAACTCAATTGTCAACGTGATTCTTATTGAAGTCTATGATTTCTCCCATGAACACATAATCCCTCAAATTTAATCTAAATAATCACTTCATATGAATTACTCTGACGACAAATCACTCATAAGTCAAAAAACATGCAATTTTCATTATCTCCATGATAATTAAACACTTACAGTAGAATGTTTGTGCACCGGTTGCTGAATAAGAAAGGGAAATATCAGAATCATTTTACACACTGTGGAGTGTGCTACTGATAAGGCTTATCAGTAGTAAGAATAAAGATTCGCTCATCGGTACACACAAATACAAAATAGTGGAGAAACAGAATTGACGTCAAACAGAGCGAATTGACCAGCATCGCCGAAAAACATGGAGGATACGAAAAGAAGACAATGAAAGATAATACGAATGGCAGAAGTGATTCACAAAACACGGAAGATCTGTACAGCGAAATGGTGATTTTTAAATAAGGTGTACATAATTTCGTCAGATGGAGATACCAAATTTCAAAGAAACAGTCTGTTACCAAATCTCTTTTCTTCTGAAGTTACAACACTATAATTCGCTTCAAAACGTTTATTATAAACGTAGTCCTATGCCTTCTTTATTGATTTTTGCTGACAGAATTTTGATCCCGCCATCTTGGGAATATTCTTCGTTATTCTCATGTATTTCTAACAGTTGATTTTGTTGTACAGTAATTTTCTATAGTTGGTTTGTAAGGATTAGTTTTGTTTTTTCAATGGGACTCTGGATTTGAACCTCAGTGGGCGTGTACTGCCGATGGCTCCCAAATCAAGGATGAAACAGCTGTCCATTACTCCCTGCTGGTTTTCAACGGTCCTGATATCAATCCGTGGTCAACCCGTAAAAACAAAACTAATTCTTAGAAAACCAACTATAGAAAATTAATCTGATGCTCTCTAGTGACTTGCTACAGGATGAAGTTTCCTGGAGTCCTAATGAGAAGTTGTCACCAGTGAGGTCAATTCAGTCAAGTGTGTGAGGATGGATGTCCCAACGATGACATTTGTTGGTGTTGGTCGCGCTTAATCAAGAATTAGTAGAAGTTAGAATACATGCGCTGGCCAATAACTGAATCAGGTCCCAGTGGCTGAATGGTATTCGAGCTTGCCTTTTAATCGGAAGATCGTGGATTTGAACCCCAGTGTACAGTAATTGTTTTTTTAATTGACAATGTATTACGTAGGCCTAGCTGCCCAACGGCACTGTTAAGTCAACTTTGAGTTTTCATATACTGTTATTGTAAAACAGTAATACTGATTTTATCTCAGATAGCTGTCCGTTCGTTGTCTCCAGGACAGTTTGAGACTGAGCGTCACTCTAGAAGCTTTTGTTAGCTACACAGTAAGACGCCAAAATTGGTTTCCTGATTTTGAAATCCCGCATGTCGGTTTTGTTCACCGCAATAGACAGACGTGATATGACATCTGGATGGGTGACAATGTTTGCACTGAGACTTCAACGAATCAATTATTGATTTCAAAGGCAAAAAGTCACCCACATGCCTAAAAAATCATTTCATGACAGCCATCAGACACTGTCAGAACGTCTGTAGCAGCAGTTGACATTTCAGTAGAGATCGAGTAGTTCAGTTAAACAAAACTGATCAATTGGGGAATATAGCATAACTTGGATAAATAGTAGCTTGAGGATATCAAGAAAATCAATAAAAATTTATCTTTTTGGATGGCATTATTGGAAGACGGTATTTATATAAATAATGTTGTGAGATACAACACCTGAGCAATACTTTTTGAACAACAATCTGACCACATCAGTTGACAGACAAATGAGAGACCAGTTAGAATAAACTAAAAGGATAATAGATTTAATATTAACAGGGATAATAAGTGCCAATGAGATAAGTTTATTTCAAATATCACACAGCGATACAGTTTGAACAATTGTGAAGACAGAGCTTCATCGCTATGAAATTATTCATTAGGTGAAATCTTCTCTATGAGTGAGAACACACACTTAGCGTCACGAAGAGAATGTCCAAGAGGCGTCTTAATACTTTTATGAATGGCTGCCCCTTCACTTACTCTGTACTGAGGATTGGATGGCCGTTTCGGCAGAACAAATTATGGGAAAGATAATCTGGGAACGAGCCCATCAATTAGCTATTGGTCAACAAAGTAATAATAAGGAAATGCAGATGGATTGGACACCCTGTTAAGTTACCATTGGATGACATCGTGCTCAAGGTCACCTCTGGAATGGAACCCTAGTATTAAGCGACATATGAGGTGTAAGTCAATATGCGATATGGAATGTATCATGCATGGAGGAGATTGCAGAAACTGGGAAACCGTGAATCCATCTGAAGTCAACTGCAGAGAACAGGAGAGAATGGAGATATGCTGCATGTTCCACTGGAATCCTAAGGTAACTTTAATTGCATCCACTATTCGTGCTACCGGTCAAAATTCAGGTGTTCTGTGAAACGAGATTATCAGGATCTTTATACAAAGGACCATTTAAATCTTAATAAATTTAACATCTAATACACCACTATAAAATACATTTATTTGATATCAGTAGTACTGTTTACTAACCTTCTGAGCACAGCTTACCACCTGAAATGAAAATATAAGAACACAAAATTGAGAATATGAATTTCAGGATGTTAATAATAATAATATTAAGTAAATCAACAGTCAACTAGATGACAGGAATAAAGATTAACCCTGAATGAATGTCATCGCATTTTATTACTATAAGAACATTTTTATCCGTCTAAAACTCAGGAATGTATATTCACTGCCTGAAATAGTATATTGGTAGAAACTGTGGAAACCTCCCTAGTTAACGAGTTTTCTAGTTTCTAGGGAATGCCAAGCCATATTCAAGAAAAAGGGTTGGGCGCTGGCAAAACTTCAACGCCCAAAAAATATTAATAATACAAAATATTCTAGTAAAAATCTCATTCTTCGCTCAAATCGGAGAGGCGAAATGAAACAGAGGGCTTGCGAAAGCTTTCAGAAAGCCTATGCGTCTTCCAGAGATGAAAGCAAAAATAAGAATGGGAACGTTGGATGTCCGTATAATGTACGAGATTGTCTGGGAAGGCTGCCCAGGTAGCCAAAGAAATGCGAAGATATGGCAGATAAGTGCTGGGTATCTGCGAGAGCAAATGGAATGGGTGAGGACTATTGAAATTGTCTACTCGGGGGTCAATAAGCCACTCTGGTATGGTCACCTGGACTGTCGTCGTGGCAGTTAGTGGCCATCATGATTCCACCAGTGGCAAATAAAGCCTTCATACATTGGGAACCAATTTAATCCTGCAGCATAATAACAGCAAGATTTAACTCCAAAGGAAGGGAGGTCACAATTATCCGATGCTACACACAGTGCTACAAACAACGCTGAGCCAGTAGGGAAGAAGGAAGACTTTTACAGACAACTACTAACTGTAATGCACAACATGTCAAATAGAAACATTGAGATCCTCATGGAAGACATAAACTACAGACTAGGAACAGATAATACAGGAAGAGAACTCGTGATGTGTCAAATGGCTCCCTTAAAAGAAAATGAACGACAATGGAGAATTATTCGCAGACTTCTGCGCTTTCAATGATTTGATGACGGCAGGCAGTGTGTGCAAACACAAGGGTATACACAATGCAAAATGGATTTCACGAGATTGACATATCACATGCCAAAAAGATTTCATCTCAATGCTGCTCAAGGCACTGAAGTTACAGGCTGCTGGATAAAAAGTCGAGAAGGAGAGCAGATGTGGGCTCAAACGGTTATATGATGCAAAAGAACTTTCAAGGTGAAGCTGAAGCAACTTTTTATTATTTTTCAATTGGATGTAGAAGTTAATAAGCCTCCCATTCTGTGTATTTATAAGTTTTCTTCAAATACAGCACAACTATTTGCTCATATCCGTTAATGTCGAAGAACGGGATAAATGTTTTAACTGACTCAATAAAATCAATAAAAAACTTAAATGCGCATACAAACTCTGATGTTCCTTAGTCACTGACTACAGGTTGAAGTTGTTTGGAGTTCTAGTGGGAATTCATAACCAGTGGGCTGCGCCTTGTTGGACCTGAGGATAAATATTCTCTGCCAGTGACATTGGATGGTGCCAGTCGAGTTTAAATCATCAACTGGTGAAATTCGACTGGATCGCAGTGACTGAATGGTCTACAAGCCTGTTTTTCCACGGGAATGTCCCATGTTCGAACCTCGAAGGGCGCACACTGTTAAGGAATTCCGAACTATGATCAAGCAGGTGTCTAGTACTCCAGGCTGGCTTTTAATGATTCTCCAACGAAAAAAATAACATCCCCACAAATTATATCTTGAGAAGTACAAACATATATGAGTCCATTGATTTACCGTTACGTCACACCCCTGGTCCAATTATTGTTTTAAACAAAAGACAAACTCACAATCTTTTGTGCCCATACGTCTGCAATAAAATAGAGTAATTGGTTGTTGGTAATAGTATGATTCTAGCCTATAAATGAAATTTTAGATTAATTAATGCGAAATCCATATAAAGAACACCTGGATTAACTCATTGTTGCCAAGAATGGAAATCAATTTTTGGAGACTGTTCTGAAATAGAAGAAATAATGTCTTCCTTGCTTACAGGTCACCGCATTCTGGTATTTATTTGTGGCTCAACGCACATACGTACACCCTCTCTATCTCTATATCTCTCAAATTCCGTTAAACATATACGAAACTAAACTAAGGGTTTCATTTTGTTAATAAGTCGATTCATCCTTTCATAAAAAGTATTTCCTGTTACCTGTCTTGGTATCACCACATCATGTGTTAGTGTATAGAGAGATATTTCATAATTTGGTGTCTGTAAGTCTTTATTTTCCTCAACTACTGAAGAAAGGCTTTGATACACCGCTGAGGGCACTAAAGGCTCTCAGTGAGGAGACTTGGGTGTCTACAAAGCTGTTCCATACACTGATCCTCCTATACGTCACTTTAATATAGTTGGTTAAACAACCAGGAATTTAGAAAAACGGATTTGTTCGAATTTTTAAATGAAGATGATGAGTATTCATGACTCAACTGTCTTTGAGAGTAGATAAAACAACCACCTGGAACGTTGAATCAATAAATGGCTGCATTCTTACTTTCGTGATAGGAAGTAGTAACCTGTTTACGATGGAAAGTCCTTCGCTGCTTCACCTTTTCGAGCCGGTGTTCCCTAGTGGTGCTGTTCTTTCTCCTTTGATGTTCTCTTACTTCTTGCACCACCAGTCGCATTGTGTTGAGGTAAATTTTATTAAGTACCCCAATGGTCTGACTATTCCTATGCCGATTAATTCTCAGTCAGATTACTGTAAAATGAATAACGTTCCATCAGAAGTTAGCTAATGGTCCTTATCAGTTGGTCTTCATCTAAATCTCTTTACGTTAATAATTTCACTTTAAGACATAAGCATGGTTTAGAAGAGCTGGTCGACTGCCATGATTCTTGTGTCATAGAAGGCATTGAAGTTGAAACTGCGTTGAATGTTAAATATTTTGGATTGTGTATTTCCTCTCATCTTAACAAGCCTTCAAACATCATATTAGTGACTAGAAAGTTTGTCCATTTAATGTTCTACTTGAGGAAGTCAGGAAATTCGGGTGTCACTCAGTCTCAAATTTTACAATTTGTTAATTCTTGTATTCTACTTATTCATATTTATTGACCCCCTCTAACCTTTCCTCGACTACTGAAGACAGATTTTATGGCACTGAGAAAGTCACTAAAAATTGTCAGTATGGTGATTGTGGTGTTGCTAAACGAAGTCATCATCGCTGTTGTAGACAGGCACTTGAACTCATGAAATTAATTTACGAATATTATCTTGTCAGATTCTGTGCCTCCGCTATATTCACAACTATTCACATTCATCTCATGAAGTTGAACTAGATGTCGCTACAAAAATTATGTTCGAACGACTAAGCATAGGAAATCTTCTATCCCTTATTCGGTACATACTTCATGTTGTGAGTCGCCTGTAAGGCATGGCATTATAAATTTTCAGAGAAACACTAAGTACTCACTCATTCCTTCATCAATAATTCGTTGTTTAATATTCTCGCTGAAACTCTCGTTTCATATTCCTACTCTTATCGGACAGTATTATCAGTGCAGATGTCTTGTTAATTATTTCCGCCCCTATACTATGTAATAAAAGGTGAAAACTGGATACCATGTTTTAATACACGCTGAAAATTCCACATTGTATTAGAAATGCTGTTTGAAAAAAAGCATTTTTCTAAAAGAATGGTCACTGAACAAGGAATATTCATATTTTCGATAACCTGCTCTTCATCATCAGGTTCTACAGTTATACATCCTTGAATAGTAGAGTACTCTAGCCAATAAAGGCTAATGAAAATAACATCAGAAACTGTATTGGGATGCATGTGTAAGTTGAGATGATAGTCCATTAGTTAGCATAGTCAATTCAATGTGTATAGGGTGTATAGTCAGTTAGGAAAAAAGTGATGAAGTGTGAATGAACAATCGGTAGTTCCGCCTTCGACGCTATTATGCCCAACGGAACTCATACGCCTAGACTTTATGGCTTACACAACATACATAAGCAGGGAATCCTTCTACGACCAATTCCGGGCATGTCGAACTCACTCTTCTATTTAACTGCCAAATGGTTAGTAAAACTGTTAGAATCGCTACATCGCCAGTTGGGTAAATATAGTGTAAAAGATGTCTTTAACTTTGTTGAAAACATTAAAGATATGAGCCTTGCAGACAAAACTATGTTATCGCTGGACGTAACATCACTATTTACCAACGTCCCTCTTGTAGAAACTATCGACTACATATGCGACCAACTCGTAGAAAATAAAATAAAAATTGGAATCATACCAAGAAAATTGAAAGATTTACTACTGAAATGCACTATGAACGTTCAATTTGTATTTAAAAAGGAGTATTACGGCCAAACAGATGGGGTTGCTATGGTTTCTCACCTTGGTTCCTTATTAACTGACATATTTCTATTGGAAAATGGTACTTTAAAAGAGATACTAAACCAAATCGATTATTATTGTCGATATGCTGATGCTAACATTATCATTTGTACCAATAATTTGGATAGACAACACCTGCTCCCAGTCTTCATTAAATTACACCCAGCTATTAAATTCACTTGTGAAGAGGAACTCCAAGGTAGTATTTCATTTCTGGAAGTTCTTCTTACAAACAGAAGAGACGGTACCTTAAAAAGGAACATCTATAAGAAAGTGACGTGGAACGGACAGTACACCCACTTCCATAGCTTCATGCCTATAAAATATAAGCGCGACCTAATTCGTTGTCTTAGTCATAGAATTAGACGCATATGTACCGACGATTGTATTGAAAATGAAATAAGAAATCTTACAAACGTCTTGCTACGAAACGATTATCCTACCAACTTTGTAAAGAAGTATATCTATGAAACTACACATAAAACCAAGAGAGACACAGTAAGTAAGAAAAAGCTTTACTTAAATGTACAAATCAAAGGCGATATAGCCAGCGATATATTAAACGTAGATTAACGAGATCTATTGGAAAAAACGTTAATGCCGCAACTTCATGTCAGTTTCTCAACCAAACCGATATTGACACCGTGCATTAAAGATAGATTACCCAAAATGGCGACATCAATGTGTGTATATAAATTCAACTGCTCCTGTGGAGTTAGTTATATAGGTAGTACCCAAAGGAATTTATCCTTATGAACTCGTGAACATATTCTTGTTTGGCCTGGGAAAAGTGCAACCAAATCAATAAACAGTGCAATTCTGTCTCATCTAGTGGATAGCGAACACAGCATCAAAGTAGATGAGTCATTTACAGTTGTGTATTGAATACCGAACAATCTCCTGAAAGGCACAGGATTACGCCTCCTAGCCATAGCTGAGGCTTTAGAGATTAATAGAAACTGACCAGACTTATGTGTACAGAAAAAACTTATTCACCCTCTTTGTGTAACCTGGCCCACTATGAGGTCACCAGGATAATAATTTTTCGTACTATTATTATCATGATTATTATTTTGTGATATCATGTCTTTATTATCCATTTCTCCACACAGTTTATTTCACCTCATTGTTACCCTTGATTTTTGTCAAACTTTATGATTTTATACTAAGCCTACCAATTCTGTAGCATTTTATTACAATTTACAATTTAGCCCCTTTATTTTATCATTAGTCATTATCGGTCAGCCCTCACATCCAGTGCCTTCTTTGTTAATGTGTGTTTGTATGCATTTTGTGGTTATTGTATTGCCCTCATCCCAAGAACACTTGTAAACCGTTGACTATAAACAACATTATATCACCCAATTGTTCATTCACACTTCATCACATTTTTCCTGAATGACTATACGCCCTATACACATTTAATTGATTATGCTAACTAATGGGCTATCATCTCAACTTACACATGTACCCCAATACAGTTTCTGATGCTATTTTCATTAGCCTTTATTGGCTATAGTACTCTATTATTCAGGGATTTATAACTGTGGAGCCTGAAGAAGAAGTTATCGAAAACAATTGTTCGCTCAAAATCTTGTTTTGATTTCAATATGGGGATTTTTCATTTAATGAATGAATTAGTTTTATTAACAAGAACAGTAATGTTGTTTAAGTAACACCGAAGCAATCATAGTATCACTAGATTACAGTTCAATGGCATCAACATAACACTACACTGAATATCAGAAACATAGGAAATACAATACTGTAAATTCATGAATTTATAGTCTCCACCTAAGGTCAGCCAGGGTTGTAGTAGTGGCTAGTTGGACTTCCTTCTTTTGGACACAAAGCACTGGTTGTTTCACGCGAATCGCGATAGCCTCTCCTGTTGTGAGTACGCGATACCTGGATATTATTTGGTACCCAGCAGGTGATAGAGAAGGATTCTTCAATGCTGGCTGGCTTTGTGGCCAGTCGGTTTGGACCAAGTGGTGTAATATCAAACTGTTGATGGATTTTACTTTTTTTATTTGGCCACACTGGTAGATGTTCTCAAGCGAACACCGAAAAATCAAGTTTTCATAGCTACGGCCAATAGAACTCGCTCCACCAGAAGTGCACTTGAATTGTGGATACATTTAGAAGTGGCTAGTCTAGGTACTTCATGTTTCATTTGGAGAATCACCATCGGTTGTGCAGAAAATATAACTTGTAGTTTACCATCACTAAAGGTTCTTTGAATAGATTTTCTTAACCCGCTGGTAATCATTTCAGTAGGTGGGTCACCCTTAAATTGCAGTCAAATAGAGAATAGTCTGTTTCTACACTGTTGGTCATGTGCTTCTTGATGAACTTTTCTAGATGGCTATTTTCAATTAGGGTGCCATATTTAATCCCTAGTTCATTTTCAATCACCTCTTCTGAGCACTTAGATCTTAACTTGTAGCTGAGGGTCCTTACTAAATTTCTTTTCTACTATAGAGGAGCGAAGCTATGGAAACGTGTATATTGTCCTGTCCATGTACTTTTCCTATGCGAATTTCTCTTTATGCTGCCCTCTGGTTTTCTTGTGAGTAGAACATCTAAGAAGGCAATTAATAATATTTTGGGATTCCTCTTCGCAAGTGAATTTCACAGCAGAATGTACTTCATTGAATACAGTTATTATTATGTTTCTATCCAAATCATTATCGCAAAGAATAGAGCTTTCATCCATGTATTACCGACAATGAAATCAGAATTTTCTAATGGGGTGGTTGTCCCAAGTTCTGTCTTCCATCTTCTAGTTTACTTAGAAAGAAATCTGCCAAAATGGGACCCAGTTGACACTATTGATTTGATGTTATTTAAACAACATTAATGTTATTGCTAATAGCACTAATTCATTGGATGGATATATAGCTGTAGAACCTGATGATGAAGAGTAGGTTATCGAAAATGTGCATATTCTTTGTTCAGTAACCGTTCTTTTGAAAATAATTTTAATGGGCATTATTGTAACTATCCCAGCAAGAATTTCAAAATTATTGTAGATTTCAGAGATTAATAATTAATCTAATAAGACAAAGTGAAATCAATGAAGGTTCCCCTCCATGGTGTTAACTTACAGATCTCGCATTTTTCTTTACCTGTGTTTTACAATTCAATACAATTTCGGTTTTATTTAAATTGTGAGAAGATAAAGCAGATTCAATCAACGAGTTCTTATGAAGGTTAAATTTTGGAAACCTTTGACCATCAAAGTTTAGCGACAACCGAAACTTCTTTCCATTTCCTGCTGATAGTGATGGTCAACTAAAGATAGGGTAAATTTGGGTAATTGCTATATGCCGCCACATGATTAAAAGCTATTTGAGGAAGACAAGAACCTCCCGAGAAACAGCAAAACGGTATTAAATACAATTACGGAAGTATATTTAGAAGATAATATACAAGAAGGGGGTGGAGACTCCTTGGAATGATAGTATACATTTGCAGTGTTTAATGCTAACCATATATATTGGTCTTAGCATGGAAAGTGTGACGTTTTCGATGAAAATATAGCCTTGTGCAAACACTGGTGTTGTTGTTGTGTTCTACTCACGGAAGCGACCAGACTCTAAGCAAACGACGAGTATGCGTAAAAGAGTAAATTTTAGCTTTAATGGAGGCCTAGGTAGTTAAGATCAAATGGAGCATAACAATGAGTGTATAAAAACATTATAGTGAGGCAGATAAGTGATGTTTCAATGAGAGGTGAATTCAAAGATCTAAAGGATTAGGACCTGTACGACAAGCTGACCTGAGGGATATCTCACTAATTTCTGTAGAGCCTGTGGCGTAGCACCTTGACAAGAAGATAAACAGGCTTGTAGATGGTAGGAGCAAAAGCATCACACATACATTTTAATGGATGGAAAATTTCCAACACATTATTGTCCATAATCATATCATCAAATACAATCACAAAACTTCGAAACTCCCGTTTTAAAGTTTTATCCATTCATTCCCAGTTTTCACAGCGGTAGCAGAATACCCCATATGTCTTAGACAGATATCAGTAACGTCAGAACCGTTATCCAGTAAATAGTAATACTGTTTTACTGTGCGATATACATAGGTAATAAACAAACTATTATGGGAAGATGAACCGAAAACCCACAATAAAACATTCTTATTCTTACACATCTTGTCTGTAAACGGAAAGCAGGTAAATAATCATTTTAGCTGATTTCAAGTGAGGTATACACTTGGTAGTTCTCGTCAAGAAAATGTCATTGTGAAAGTTCATTTTAGGCATTCTCGTCCTCCGTTGATCAGTGTCAGTTAAGGAAGTATATTCCCAGTTTTGTTAGTCAAGGTAGGAGTTATCTGTCAATGTATTAAAAACCACCTGAGTAACTCTATAGTCTATTCTGAATATACTGTATGGGCAGAAAATACAGTGTAGCGCAGAATAACTTTGTATGCTCTCTTTTCACTGTAAATCTGGTAAATGGGTATATAGCTACATTACTTTCTGTCATATTGGATCATATCTTCCTATAAGACGTAGGTTTCATCTCGATAGCCCTGCGTCACACTTACCTGCCATGGGTTTGCTTCGTAGAAACCAAAATGCGAATTTTCTGCAGATATAGACGAGAAAAACACCATTTTCAGGAATTCTCTACTTAAATCCCCTAGGTATCATCATCAGCAGACACAGAATCGAATGGTAGTCAAATCTCCACACCAACTTCATCGGCGTTGTTGAAAAGGACTTTGAAAGCATCGATTATGAAGTAATTTGGAAATGAATCCAACACTATAGACTGTACCAAACTTTTATCAACTTCACTCAGTAGCTGTATGACAATGTCACATGTCAAGTGACGCACAACAGAAAACTAAGAGTAGACTCTGAACTAAAGACGTCAGTATGAAAAGACCACCTGTCTGCTATCACCAATGATATTCCTTCTTTTGGTGAATTCAATTATATAGGAAAGATATATGTTGGACAGATTAGAAGAATCTAGAAGATATGCACTTCCTGGACGATTTATGCATTATGTCACACAAACGTGAAGTCATATGGGCGATAACCAACTGGTTGACAGAAGAAACAGCAAACACAGGACTCAAAGTGAACATACAGAACACGGAGGTGATAAAGCGAACCAAACATTTAACAAAGCAACCAACCAACAACAATAGGCATCAATCAATATCTAAGAGAGAAATTTGAAAGGAGTTATCTTCTTCGCTCATCTAGGCAGTAGCCCTCCATCTATTAGCGGATCGTGCTGATAAGAATATCAAAACGAGAACTGGAAATTTATAACAGACAGACCTTCATCCCTGTGAAATCATCCGCTCTGAAAGTCATGAAGAGAATGTCCAACAGCCGTCTGATTAACTTTACGAGCAGGTGTCCTGTTGCCTGACTATATACTAAAGATCAGGTACGTGGCTTATCAGAAAGAATTATGAAAAATCGACTATCCCGTTCATTTAAGAGAACCTTCTTCGCAGCTTAACTACGATCAACCTTCTCCACAAAACCTGTGATTCAAATGAACATGAAGGATAAGCTACCACTGTTGGTTTCATCATTTTGTATCTACCAATTTACCTGCTCGTGTGGAGCCAGGTATATTGGCAGTACCCAGCTTTCGCTTTCCAAACTCACCAGCATGGTTTCAGGAAGGAGAAAATCGATGCCACCACAACTCTATCTTAGAATATCGTATAGATTCCGGACACCAAGCTACACCCCCAAACAAACTTCAAAGTCGTCTACAGAAAACAAAGCAGTCTGCCTAAAAGTATGCGAATCAAAGTTCTTTCAACTGCAGAAGCAATTCACTTGCCAAGTCCTGAACCCTGCATACAGAAGAAGTTCGTTCGATCACCACACTCCCAATGGACGTAATCTATCTTAAAATCCGACAGGTAAATTCTATTTCTCTCTGTCTCTTCACTCGTGTTATTTTGTATTTTCAATTGTAAAATTTTACATTTTCAGCTTTTCTGTTCTCTACCTTTACCCGAATTAATTTCTCCACCATATTGCCACTGTTACTAACTTGACCAACGCTCAATTTCTAGTCATTTATATCACGTCAGCCAATTTATTTACTCAATTTTAGTTCTAATTTAAATGGCATTATTTTCTACCCCATCTCTACTTAGTCTCTGCCAGTAATTACCTTTGTTGCTATCCTAACCTAAGTCGAAACATTTTAGTCAATTATACTACATCATCTAACCTACTAACTCAATTTTACTTTAGTTGCTGTCTGATTAACCTTGTTTCTATGTGAGATCATTCTTGTATTACCTGATCAATTACCTAAACTTGACAAACCTTATGTACTCACAGGCACACACGCAAGAGTATCTTCGATGAACGTCTTCTCCTTTTCATAATTATGAACAAGAAAGTCTAGGAACGAAATAATCAATAACTTATTGCTCAATAAATAGTGTCTCTCTATTTAATAATACATAACAGTAAGTGTAAAATAACTTACTGTAAACATCCCAGTCTTCAACTAAATTACATTTAAAGTTTAGTAAAATATTATATAAGCAGCATAATATGACTGTGAATAAAAAATATTCTGGAAATACATCCGTTCAAATGCAAATATTGAAGTGGTCATTTACCATTGAGAAGTATTTGCATTCATGAAACCTATCGGCGTAATAAGTGGATAATAAAATCAATCATCCAAAAGTACCCTCATCAAAATTCAAAAACAAACATTAGTGTCGATCTATTTTCATGTCCATGATCAATTTCTACGCTTTATATAAAAGGCTTGATGCAGTCAATGCATAAAACTCTAATAGTATTTCTCGGTTTCCAAAGAAATTCTAATATCGTCTCCTTAATGATGGTGAACATCTAAAGAAGTAGTGTGTTTAATTGACATCATTCCATTATGGGTAAATTTTGTTTTAATTAAATTTCTCACAGTGCTGTCATACAGTAATGTTTACTGATAACCACGTTTCGAGCACAAATCGTCGCTGCTCATAATTATATCAAGGTAGTCCTCACACGACTTCCTAACTTCATTTATATAGTCCGATTGTTTTTCACTTGATTTGATTGGTAGTAGTATTTTCTACATTTCGGGTATGAGTGATGAATCATTCCTATTGAATGTGTTGTGTTTGGTGTAGACTCGATGAACAAGGATTCAGTAATCAACCTCTCTCTCCACCTATCTAGATTACTTAGTGGCACTAAGTAGTATAAGAAAAGACCTAAATGATGAAATAAAACAGAAGAGGCTTTGGTGTTAAATAACTAACTATCCTATAAAATTCATTAGGAAGATTGAAAAGGGCCAGAAGAAAAATAAAAATAATTGTGAAACTAGTAATAATAACATAAATAAGAAAGAATATAAGTCATCCACAGTTATACCATATAAAGAGGGGACATCTGAGACCTTACGTAGGATTCTAAATAAAGCAGGAATTGGGGTGGCATTTAAACCTACAAACTCACTCAGGGACAAGCTGTGTAGAGTAAAAGACCCGGTGGACCCAATTACACAAAATAATATAATTTACGAAATACCCTGCAATGACTGTGAGGTCAACTACATAGGTCAAACTGGTAGCTTGGGGTAATCAGATTGTCGGAACATAAGAATTTAGCTATGGTTAAAATGATTGACCCTATTAAGATAAGTAATTAAGAAAAAAGCTCAGCAATTGCAATGCATGCATTAACACACAACCGCACAATAGGGTGGGAGAGGGTTAAAATTTTAAAAAGTAATATAGGTAGGCGGAGATAGAGTGAGGTTGATTACTGAATCCTTGTCCATCGAACAATCTGCACTCAACATATGCAATAGGAATGATTCATCACTCATAACCAAAATATAGAAAATACCTTTATTAATCAAATCAAGTGAAAAACAATGGGACTATATAAATGAAGTTAGGAAGTCGTGTGACTACCTTGATATAATTATGAGCAGCGACAATTTGTGCTCGAAACATCATCAGTGAACATTACTGTATAACACTGTGAGGCTTTATCAAAACAAAATTTACCCATTATGGAATTACACTCTACCACAATGCACAAGTTTTTTACTTTTATCAAATTGAGATCATGTCATCTTTGCTGGTATTAGATGGTTGAAGGCAATCGGCCGAAAGAAGCCTTGAACCAACTAGGTATCCTGCTAGTTGGTACTCACCAGTCAGTCATCAAAGCGTATCGGCAACCTCGAAGGAACTCTTGTCCCTTTTGAGATTCGCATCTCTGTTACCCAGTGCTGCACAGAGACGTTACCACTGAGCTATTCGTGCTGGCTGGCGACTGACCTCCTGTAGGAACGTATTTGATACTTTTCATTAGATACTAGTTAGTAACTAGTGTCATGTGTCTAGTCCTATCAGCGGCAGAGTCTCTAGCTGCAGGCGACACTGGTTGACGCGGGTTCGAATCTCACAAGGGACATGAGTTCCTTCGAGGTTGCACATACGACTTGCTGACTGATTGGTGAATGCCAACTAGCACGATACCTAGTTGGTGCAAGGCTTCTATTGGTCGATTGCCTTCAACCATCTAATACCAACAATTCACAGTGCACCATGATGGCAAGCCACCTAGAATGGTGGCCACATTGTAAACCTAACTGATAGAATTCAGTCTGGACCGAAGGTAGGACTAGGCACGTCCCAATACCTACAAGTGTCCAATCAAAATCAAGTCACCTTGTTGAACAGTCTTCGTACTTCATATATTGAAAGCTTCTAGATATTCAACAGCATTACAGATAGACTATAAACTACTGTTTCGAAAATTTGAATTATATTGATTCCTTTATTGCAGATAGATCTACTTACCGGCATTTACGTAATCTGAAATTCAATAGTTTACAAACAGATTTTAATGATATTCTGTGCGCAAATATTCAATAAACATTCAAACAACTCCATAGATTTCAAGAAAATAATTGAAATCACTCTTTCACCAACAAACAAAAGAAATACTTTGATGCTTCAAGTGACTAGAAATTAGCGTTACATTCGTTGAATATTGGATATTGAACATGACAATCAATTATGTATCTATCATATATCATAATTTGAATTCGGCGCCAAGTTATTTAATGTTCAATCGTGGTGAGTATCAAATGATTTATTAAGGCTAAAACCTTTTAAAAATGTTAAACAAAGTCTATGTCAACTTTATTTGTAATACCGTGTTATTTCTTAACATGATTGACCTTCAAGACGCCTACAGATTGTTCAGTTAATTAATCTCTTTGTATATGTGCATTGAAATGACGCAAAATTGAAAGTTTTTTAAATAAACCAAAATACAAATGACTGAACATTTCAGATTCTTGAAATGTCCGATTAATTTCGTTTTTACAGTAGACTTTTGTTTAACTAAATCACTCCACATTTAGTCTCTCTAATCTAATAATACACTGTGATGATAAGAACTAAACGAAAGTTCTTAAATTGTTATCTAGCTGTTAGATATTTCCATTGTATTTCAACATTTTACAAGCTTTAGAGTGCTCTAAACAAAAGTTCTTTCAAATTGATTACTCACATCACATAAATTATAACAAAACGATTATATTTTAGTGTACCGTGAACCTTTAAATTTTCGTTGTAAAGCATTCACTGAGTTTTGGCGCTACACAACTGTGAACATGTAGTTCGCTGTCTTGTTGTGCTATCTATCAGTCAGCGCCATCTTCGAGCTTACTTCCCTGTCGAGGCATCTATCAGATAAGTTGCATAACATCTTTATTTATAGAAATTGACATTAGATTTGGGAAAAAATACAACACCCTTTAGGAAACACTTCCAGTCCCAAGTCTTTTTACTTTGATTTCATCAGTCAGTAATTACACTTTAGGCGGAGTACTGATAAGGTTATTAAGCGGTGAAGTATGTATTTAGTAAGTGCGGTTATTTTAAGTCTTTCTTAAGTAAAACCCAACACTTACAATATTCCCACTACCGGACTCCAAGTCTCTGACTGTAGTAAAGCTTTACTCTTAACAGATGTAAATGTAAGAAGGAAATGAGCATCCTAGATCCTCCTTGTTGACTATTATCAACTAAAATAGCACCTTTTATACCAAATATTAATAGAAAATGAGAATTGATATTCAAAATAGTATATTAGATAAAATCTTAAATTTAATTTATGATATTTACGAGAGAAAATAAAAAGTAATACGCATTCATTACCATAGGCTTGTAGAAAGAGAATGACGACCAGCCAGTTGAACAGCATGCTTATTCTTTGTTTCAGTGCTTCCAGAAGAACAGTGGGAACAGTCTGAACTCTGTCTCTCTCTCTCCCTCTCTGATTTAAACACGACAGTCTCTGGATGTGTATATATACACTTTTCTAAAAAATAAAAGCCATCTATCATGTCTTTTCTTTTGTGAGACGGGAGAACAAACTGAGACAAAGATAATAGATTACTTGGCTGGTTTATCATCAAACACGCCACTATCATTTCATAATTTTACTCATTCTAATTTATCATAGAACGTCTGTATTCTTTGATTACTGCTCATTAGACGTCATGTGAGGTGTGCAATTCTAATCAGTCAAATCAGTCAAGACTTTGTTTTAACGTAATAATAATCACCAATTAAAAAAAACTAGACGTGTATTGAACATTGAAAGAAAAGGCAAATATTTGAACAGAAAGCGATACGTCATCTATGTACATACTATTCTTAGCCGTTTTATTTCATTCGGATTTCTAATAATTTATTTAATTGAGAAAACGTGATACACAGCGAGAATGTTTACATTATTTAGAAAAAAATGGAATATTTATTACACTACTGTATTTATGAGCAGATAGATAAAGTTCTTATGGAAGCCATAGGTTCATAGTTCGAATCTCAGTAGAGGTAATATTAATCGTTGTGGGAATGCAGTTACATCCGTTAAATGACGAGTCTCAAATAGGGACGAAATACTCACGTGCTGATAAGTACGCTGCTAGTCACCATCCATATAGAGAACGTTCTTATTAGCTTCCAACTGTGGCCATTCTTGAGAACTAATAACCCTGTGCGAACTTCTTCGTAACTAATTATTTACTTACAAGAAGGAAAAGAAGAACGATGACACTGTTAACCAACACGTAATCTGAATAGGCAACAATGGATCCATTAAGTTTTATTTTAATATTATTTCAGTGAATTTCATGATTTTGAGTTTCAATTCAGTGGAAACACCCGTAAACATTGGGGTACAGGAACTTCTACTTGATGTAACGAAATAATAGTTAAGGGAAAATCCCTCCTGAAAGATCTGCTTGTAATATTCATACTAACTCAGATGTTTCAACTATCTTTGTAATGGCCGACCTCTATACCTTTAGGTTGTGTATCATCTGATGACTTAATCCTTATTATTTCTCTTTGTTCATGTTTGCTTCCTATTTCGAAAGCCTATTTTGAGTTAATTTCGACTGTAATTTAGTTTGAATGAAGTCAGGGCTGGTGGTGGTGGTGGTGGGGATTTTGACTTTAGACTATCTGTGGGAATTGTTCAGTATGTGATTCGTGATGACAGCGTTGCGACCCCAACTTCTTGGGAATATTCTTCTTCATAATTAATATTTTTTTTAAGTTCTTAGAGGAACACAGGGCTTCAGTCGCACGTCTTCATTGCTTACTGTTCTTCACTAACGTTCTTACCTGGCTCCACATCTACCCACATGCTTTCACCTACTCTTCACATGGCCTCCTCCATGTAACCCTCGCATTGACAAGCAACTCGCGGCTTCCCATTCGGGTTCCACTGGAGGGCCTGTGTAGTGATGTCACTTGACGGTTTCCTCAAGGTATGGCCAATCCATCTCCATTTCTTCCTGCTTATTTGTTGCGCAATCGGTTCCTGCTAGGTTGGTCGGCTCCCAGAAATCCCTGTTGCTGGTCTTTTCTGGCCATCTGGTCTTGGGTAGTATTCAGCTAGAGAGAGCTGTTGATAAAAGTCTGTAGTTTGTTCGAAGTGCCCTCCGTGACACGGCGACAAGGCTCTGATCCATATAGTAGCAATGACTTCACATTGAAGTTGAAAATCCGGCTCTTACTTTCATGCTGAGTAGCGGCTGTTGATCTTAATAATGAAAGCTTGCCTTGCTTTCTGATTCTTGCTTTGATATCCTCATCAGTTCCATCCGCTTGTAGTTGAAACGATGCTTCTCAGGTAGTTAGGTAGGTGGCTTCTTTCAGGTTCCTCCCATTTGTGCTGATTGTGGTCTGTTTTCGTTGTTTCAGTTGCTGTTGGCCAGGAATCTTCATCACTTCTCTTTTCTCTATGTTCACCTGGAGACCTATCTTCTCCAAATGCTTCTTCTGCCAACTTTTTGCTTTCCACTTGCATATCTTCCAGTCTGTGTGAAATCAGACATTTATCATCGGAGAAGTCCAGATCCTCCGGGTTTTTGTGTGTGTCTATTTTATGTTTGTTTCCTCACTGCCCACTCTCTGTCGCATTATCCAGTCTACTGCAATCAGGAAGATCATTGGGGATGGTAGGCAGCCAGCCAGCTTCGTCTTACTCCCGTTGTCGTAGTAGCGAAGTAGTTGCCAAATGACCTCTCGATCGACGCTGCACTATCGAAGGCCTTTTCAAAGTCGATGAAGTTGAGATAGAGAGGTGACTGCCATTCCAAGCTTTGTTCAATGATGATCCGTAGTGTGGCGATTTGATCAATACATGACTTGTTTCTCCTGAATCCAGCTTGTTCTAGTCAAATCTTTTCATCCAAGGTGTGTTGCTTAGTGTTATGCTTGAGCTGGACAGCAGCATAATGCCGCGCAAGTTCTTGCATTGACTTAAGTCTTCTTTCTTTGGCAGTTTGAATAAGTAGTCTTTCTTCCAATCCTTGGGTATCTTGCTCCTTTTCCACACTTTCTGCAGCAGTGGTGTCATCAAGTCCACCGATGTCTCTGAGTCCAATGCTTCTGCTGATATTCCGTCTTGTCTTGCTGCTTTTCCAGCCTTTAACATCTTGATTGCCTTCGGGATTTCTGTTTTTGTCGGAAGGTTGATGTACACTGGTAGTTCTCCTTCCGTGGTTGGTATTATTGGGCGTGTTGTATTCTCTAATATTGATGTGTAAATATTGTTTAATGGATCCAGGAATTTTAGCTCAGCTACACAGTAGAAAAGAATGATCGATTTTCCGTCTTTCAGACAGTCGATTTTCATTTGTTCTGAATAGGACGAAATGTGAGTTATGAATCCTAATGTTAGCCATAAGCAACTGAAGATTCCTTGATTATCACTCAGCTCATCCATCCACTAACGGTAAAACGAGGATGAATACAAGGTCTTGCAGATAGAATACGTAGACTTACAACAAGACCAGAGGACCAGCGTAAAGAAATAAACGTCCTATTCAAAATGCTACTCGAAAACAACTACCCAAAAGAATAAAACTTGTGCACTGTGGTAGAGTGTAATTCCATTATGGGTAAATTTTGTTTTGATAAAGTCTCACAGTGTTATACAGTAATGTTTACTGATGAAGTTTCGAGCACAATCACTGATATGAATTACCCAAAAGAATTTACAAAAGATAATATAAAAAAAGAGAAAAAAGAGGGTAAATCTGAAGAAAAACAAGATGGAAGAATGCAAAAAAACAGTCACAATACCGTATAAAAATCCTACGCTGGAGGCAATTCAAAAAAACCTGAAAAATATTGGGATTCGCACAACGTTTAATCCGACGAATCTAATCAAAAATAAAATAAATCCACTGAAAGACTCCATAAAAATTTAGGATAAAAACAACTTGATTTACAAAATATCTTGTGCTGACTCTCCGACTGAATATGTAGGGCATACCTCCAGATCACTCAAAATAAGAGTGAATGAACATAAACGCCTGACTAAAGGTCTGCCAACAGGAAGGACCACAAGCTTACAAGAGTCCTGAAAAAAAGTTCATCGATAGCTGCACATGCATGGGACGAAAACTACAATATCGATTGAAACAATGTGTGTATTCTAAGAACTAACATGAACAAATGGAAAGAAAGACATATAACACAGTCTATATTCACTAAAGTCACACCGAAAACATGTAACACGGGTGATTCAGTAGCACAACTGTCAACAACCTGGAATATAATTCCGAATACAAAAAACATGAATGAGCAAATGAACTATATATATAGCGGTTTGATCACTTGAACGTATAACTTAGCTTCGATTCGTGTCTTGCCTTCTATTGTTATTGTTCTCTTGTGTTCCTAGTGGAACATAGGGCTTCAACTGCACGTCTCCACTTGCTTCTGTCTTCCGCTGTGCTTTGCACCTGCTTCCATGTAAGTCCATAATGTTTCAGCTCCTCTGCACACGATCTCTTGGGCCTGATGCGCGATGTCACCCAGCGGCCTTTGTAGAGAGTGTTCGATACATCTCCAATTTCTCCCGCATATTTGTCGGGCGATTGGTTCTTGTTTTGTTAGCTCCCATAGTTTCTTGTTGGTGATTCTTTCCGGCCCGGTAATCTAATCCTCAGTATAGAGCGAAGACAGTTGTTGATGAAGGTATGCAATAGCCTGTTGGAAATGTTCTTGGTGACCCGTCAACTTTCTGATCCGTAAAGAAGAACTGACTGACTTGAAGTTTGTACTGAAGATCCGAGCGAATTTTTTTTTTGATTCTGAGTGACGAAGATTTCCAGATTGGTTTCAGGTTGATGAATGTGTTTCTCGCCTTCCCGATTCTCACTCGATTTGACATCCTCTTCCGTTCCGACTTCCTGTAGTTGAGACAATGCTCCCTAGATAAGTGAATGAAGTAACCGCTTTCAAATCCCTCCCGTTGATGGTGATTGACACTGGATGTTACTGCTGCCGTTGTTGTTGGTTGTTTATTCTCACAACCTCCGTCTTGTCTATCTTCCCATGGAGTCCTGTCTTCGCCGGCTGCTTCTTCGACCAGTTTGTCGGTTTTCGCTTGTAAGTCTTCAATTTTGTGTGACATCAAACATAAATCATCCACGCGCGAAATTCAGGTGTTCTGGGTTCTTCACGTCGGTCAGTTCAGGATACCCCTGTCTGACTCCTGTGTTTACTCCAAACGCCTCGCTGAGTTTTCCGTCGTGGATCACTTGACATGTGCCGTTGTCGTACAGCACCTGTTGAATAAGGTTTATAAATATTTGGGGTACGCCGTAGTACTCGAGTATTTTCCAAATTACTTCGCGGTCAGTGCTGTTGAATGCCTTCTTAAAGTCGATAAAGTTG